AATGCCTTTTAACATGCGTCTGGTGGTTTAGAGAAATATTTTATCTGCATAAAATATAAGCAAATGCGGCAAATGCCAACATAAAATACAATTTTTTTTCAAGAAGTACACAAATAAGAGCTCTGCTGATCTACCAATATTTAATTTTAAAGCATTTATCGGCCAATACAGATGACGTGGCGATATTATCGTGCATCATAACATAGTTTTTCCATTTGCCTCAGCAGTGGTTAATGTTTGAGTAAGATTTGTGGTATTTTCTTATTCATTAATAGAAGCTCCAAGAGACATGGAAAAGCTGAGGTAAAGAAAGGAGAATATTGTATGTAATGGGGCATCAACTATCGGTAGATTCTGTCTTTGTCACTCTTTGAACTAAAGATTTTTGACTTGCAGATAACAACATGTGCCCACCTGGAATTTTCATAGAGATAATTGCGACATTTTACATCTGATGTTGGCTCAGATTGCTTTTTCATCATTAAAACCAGACTGCCACAGATCTAGGAAATTTAGGGAATTTACACATCACTGACTGAAAATGGAATGATTAAGTGCCATTAAGGAACATTATTAGCATGCAGGGTTTTTATTCCCAATTATTGTTATATTGGTCTCTGTTTGACCTCCAGATGGTGATCACCAAAATGTATATTGTACTTGAGTCATCTTTTATTTAGCACTACATTTCAGTGGAGGGTAGTTACACTTCAAACTACCACTCAGTACCTGAGATAGAAGAAGTGTGGATCTTTCTAATAGCTCTGAAAGATCACTGAGCTGGACAACATAAGAGAGCTCTCCTTTTTGCTGACAGTGACAGAAACTACTTCCATCTGTCCCCCTCTGAAAACGGGGATTGTTGTGCACTTTGGAAAGGTGATGTCGCTACAGGCAGGAGGAAATGTATCTGGGAGGGTGAAAAAAAGGAATTCTCAGGTGTCAAACTGAATGACTGGGGAAACATTTTGTTCTCGACAACAAATCAAGAATGCCGTGGAAACGGGCAAACAAGAAAAAAAATGCAATCAGGGACGTCAGAAGAAGAGAAAAATAGAGATACAAATAACTGCAAGGTAAGGGTCAAAAGTAAGAAGAGAAGCATCTGAAAGTCATCATGCACACACATCAAGAGCCTATCTCTTTGCAGTGTAAGGGAGAATGATGTACAATTCAAAATCTAGAATATATGAAGCTTTTGGTCTACAAGTCAATGGTAAGGCTTCCGCAGCAAACATTATATAAATTATAAATAATTAGCATCAATTGTAGCATTTTGACAGAATTATACATGCTTACTATTTAAGAACTGGACCCTTTTTGCATCACCACTTAAGTGACAGCAAAAACAGCAATTATTAGCTGTAGTTTTGTAGCCATTTTTCTCACTCTGGTTTTGTACCATGACAGCAGTATTATGTGTTGCAATCATCCTGACAAAAAAACACACACACCTTTCTTTCAGGTTGAGCCCACAGACACAGGTGCCACTTAATCAGACAAAGAAAAGGATGGATAGAACTCTGTTTCACTCACCATCCCTGAACTCAATCTGCACATCACAAGTAAAGCCTCATGAGACCGCACGATCGATACATACAAATGAATATCAATGTACCATGCAGTTCCATGACAATCAGCTCCCTCTCCTTTCTCACAACCAAAAAGTCCTAGATTTCTGCCAGCACGAAAAACGATCACGCTACTGAGGCAGCCAATTCCACAGTTTATCTGTGTATATATCTTCGACAGAAGTGAGGCCAACTCTCCAAACTCAGGCAATTTGGCTGAGAATGGATTCATTCGTCTTTCCTAATGGCCAGTTGTTGAAGAGAAAGGAACTAATGAATAACATTAAGCAGGTACAATTTTTATAAATGTAGGTTACTGCTCCAACTTAACTTAAGCAACTCCATTTAACAGAAAGAGACACATGGAGCCAAATTGTGCAGTTCTGCGATTTCTCTCACTTTCTTACACACACACACACACAGACATAAACATGCATGAATGCACATGCACACATAGAAGGGCTATGTATGTAAATCTTCCAGGAATTTCAGGACTTGTGTTGTCCAAGGGGGTCTGAGCTGAACCACCAATCCTGAACATATTGGTTTTGAATGGTCCTGAATATTAATGCGTGACCAAGAGCTAAACTCCAGATCAGAAACCCCCAGCATGTGCCACTGTGGACTCCACCAGATCAAATGAATAAATGCTGTCCATGCTAAAAAGAGATCTAACACATGGGCATACATCAAGGTGCTATCAAGATATGCAGCCTAATAGCAGAACTCTTATATTCTGGTTTGCAAAAAATATTTTTCTGCAAGTACCATTTCACAACAAGACATTTTTGTGATTTTATCTTATGCCAGATAACAACGATATTGGTGTGTCAAGAAATTGCAATACGGAAATGCTAAGATATGTTTAGATTCAGACACAGTGTCACAGTTTTCTCACCAAAGAGCACTGACAAGTTTATTTTTCAACTTTAAAACGTCTCGCTCATGCATGCTGCATGTTGGTCATATTATGGGTGATCCTTATCAACAGGGTTTTTTTTAACTGTGAAATATCAACATCAGTATCTGCCTCACAAAAAACAGCATCGTTTAGGCTCATGTGTGCAAGTTGTTAATGGCTTGTTTAATGTATTAACACAACAGTAATATCACTTTGTGAACAGTAATAAGCAGATGTTTGGTGTCTATTCTCTATACCTTTGGGTTAGGGCTGGGCAATAAAACAATAATGATAATTATCGCAATATAATTTTCCTCAATAACAATATAATAAATGTTCAATATATTGTCAATAAATATTTGGTTTAATTCATTTGAATCACAAACAAATTAGCACTTAATATTTATTTTGTTGAGAAAAAGGGACTGAAAAAGATTTTCTAGTCATATTTGTTAAAAAAAGATTTTATCATAATAGTTTTGAATGTCCTACCTCATATTTGTTAAGTGATCCACTGTTTGGCATCAAGTGTTTGTCACGTTCTGACCATAAAGAAAAGTTCAACCACATAATTAACCATCTGGTTTCGTCAATATTCACTCGGGAGCAAAAATCAGCCTTTAAACTTGACATATATTGTGATAATTATTGATATCAAATGATATGAAATGTTTTTATCGTGATAACATTTTTGGCCATATCACCCAGCCATACTTTGGATCCCTTTTAGCAAACTCTTTAAAGTCATTACACACCGCCTCAAGTCAAAATGTGTTTTGACTAGAATGCATTGTTATTTAACTTGAATGTTTGACCTACACTGTGATTGTGGAGTTTGACACTAGGAGGCTTTAACTCATCAGCTGAAAGTTTCTCTGCGCTCACTTCTGAGTACTGAGTTGACAACGTGTACGTGCCAGCAGGATTTTGTGACATCAGAACTAGTTTGGAAGCTGATCATGGTCCACTATCCAGCTTCCACAAGTGTGATGGGGAGACTTGAGTGAGGAGACATCTTGTGTCCAGCAGTTAAACTTACAAAACAAAACATATTTGCATATTCATAGATTCTGGATTCAGTGGGGGCGAAAGAATAAAAAGGCAAAAGGTACAAGCAACAAAGGGATCCTTCATCTAAATGTAGGCTCACAACCTGGAACCCCAAATTCTTTATCATAATGGACTACTTCTGACTTGTAACACATAAAACTGAACCTTTTATAATTATGTTAAATTGTAGTTTTGTAAGAGATACACTGTAGGTTACTGCAATTTCATAATCAGATACATTATTGTAAACTGTCAAATATTATAAAGTACAAGCTATTTTACAAATGTAAAAACATGATGTCTAGTGTAAAAAAGAAATGGATTTAAATGTTGTTCATTTTCTGTATGTCCCTATACATTATCCAATCCAGGACCAGCATGTGAATCTCCTCTAGCATCTAGCTCTCCAAGTTAACAATCGGTGGCAGTGACACCAATTACCAATCAGTTAGATCCACATATTACAGTTTGACTCTGGACTGATTTAAAGCGCACGGAGCTCAGCAGCCACCTCCTGTATAATCCAGTCTAGGTGAAGTTCTCCCACTTCTCTTAACACCACTACATACGACAGCGAGACTGAGGATGATTGCATCGCCCTCACTGGCTACGTTACATCCAGTCAGTGATGCAAAGGTTTCAGTGTTTGTGAAGATCAGCTGCTGGGGGAAATATTTTGAATGAAAATGCCCAGGAGACACAGGAGACTGGTGTGGAGGATCTCTGGGTTATACAAGGAGGAATCAATAATCTATTACTTGCAGCTCTCTGAATGGTGAATTGAAATGTAAATGGTTTAAAAGATACTTTCAAAGATATTACATGGAGTCTTGGCTTCAATTAAACTCTCTGACGGCAAAGTGTGATGACAAGAGTTCACAAGACTATTTTGAGTCAGAATTCTAGTTTTTTATTTATTTTTTTAAAGATTTCCCTTTGTCAAGGAAAGTTTTGCACTACTAATACTTTTTGACTGCTAGCAAGATATTATGTGATCGAGATAATGAATTTTTGAAGATTGCTGTATAGTAATGAAAACTGCAACACTGAATTAGTGTACTAGGCTCAGTAAGGGCTGATAGGTGGTCAACACATACTGTGTCATTTGATGCAGGTAATCTTTTTCTGTGTTCTGACAACCTCACTGACAGTACAACCTAGATAATAACAAGTAATCCCATAATCACTTTCATGGGATGCAAGACACAAAATACCACTTAACTGATTCCACCCCCTCATCTCATTTGGTGAGAACACTATAAAATGTTAAGGTCACAAAAAAGTATTTACCACTGACACAGATTTGAAGAATAGGGTGGAGTGTCTTTTGACTACTATTACACACATATGCTCTCCTGCCTTGGGACAACTCATATACAGCACTGTTGGTTCTGAGTCTCTGTTCAGTCAACTCAGACACGCAGAGAAACGCTTACAAACGCTTACAAACCCCATGCGTAAACAGCTGTTGCGCTTACCGATTCTGAGGACTTGTGCTGAGCTCAGGCAGAGCTGCGCCGCGAAGAGAAGATACAAGAAAAGTCTCTTTCTTCTCTCCATAGTGCTCCAGGCGAACTCACAGATACGGAAACTGGCACCATGACAGAAAGAAACAGCGTCTATCCAAGCGTCGAAACACCTGACATGCCATGCCAGCGCGCAATCCAAGTTTCATTCCTAATTCGATCCTTTCCACTCTGCATCACTGCGTCGCTCCAAGTGAACGAAATGTCATGAACAGCAGTCACGTTGATCCAACTTTCCTGTACAAAATCACTCCAAGTCACATCTTCTAAACAAAAACGTGCAGCGAAAAAACACAGCCAGCGGCCAGCGTAAACACGTCTACTTTTACTCTGTAGACAATGCGCCTCCAGAGTGGCGGAAGCTGTAGGGAGTGAGAAGGCGCAGATAACCGTCAAGCAAGCCGAAATGTAATTGATTTCCGGTATGACTTTTCAAAATAAAATCCATTCAAGAAATACCTCACACGTGGTCGTTGAGGTATTGTTTAATACCTAAAATCGAATGTTTTGTTCGTTATTCTATTGTCCAACGATGTGATGTGATGTGTGAGACCGGTATATGCTCATGTGGCATCCGTTGGCTTAAAAGCTGTCCATCATGTAGGCTATTCAAACCAAACACACTGTTTTTTTAAATAATAATTTCTCCAAATACTGGGGAACTTTTTTCAAACCAGACCTGCTTTTACACTGATGGTACCCGTGGTCTACTTCTGGTCATCTCAGGCTAGTTTGGCTACCCTCGGTTTGGATTAAGGCGCAGATGGATTGGCAGCGGTTCTCTCCACCGGTCCTGATGAGAGGAGAATAATCTTCAGGTTGCAGGGCTGATGCCAGATTATCTCTCACTGCAGACAAGCAAGGTCTTCATCTGACTGGGTCACTGGATGCCTTCCCATCCCCTCCCAGGACTCTTGAAAGAGAATTTAAATAATGGATACAGGACGTGGTTTTTTTTGTTGTTGTTTTTTTTTTTTAATGTGTTTGTGAAGTCTCTCAAAGCTGGGAGCCAAGTGATCTGTAAAAAAGGAAAAAACCTGCCAACTTGAACCTGGACCTCTGACAAACAGACTAAAGTCAATCTTGATTAACTCAGAAAATAACCATCCACCTTCTCCAGGAGTCCTTGGGCAACAGTCCTAACAAAATTTACCAGATGAATCCTGAGCAGAAGTGTCACTCAGTGGAACATCTGTTAAATACCATACTTGTAAATGTCGGTTTGAGCTGCAGATAAATAGAACCACTTCATGTTGAATTAAAGAATAGAAAGCCAGAATTATATAGTAACTTTATGGACATTGGAAATTTTGTTTTACTTTACTGTATGAATTTCTTGAAATTCACATGCAATATTCTTTTACTTTATACCATAACAGTTGAACTAAATTATGCAGCCACTTCCTTTTAAAGTTTTAACTGCCTTTGCTTTCTAAATAATTGTTCAATTATCCATCAAAATTGCTTTTGATCCTTTATTTTATCTTTTGAAAATATATACATGTTAGCGCCACAATTTAATCTACAAACATCATGGCATCAATTTTTATTTGATCATCTGAATGTGATCTTCCAATAACTGCGAGGCAGTTATGTTAAGCAATGGGAACGGACTGACTCGGTACGTAGCCGTTTTCTGTCCAAAAACTGCGGCGCAATGGATTTATATTCCTTAGCTTCTGACCTTTCAAAAGGAGACCAGAATTATGCATAGGCCTAATGGTTGAGGAGATATTACGGATTTATTTTTGATATGTGATTTTAGGCTTTTTTCTTTCTTTCGGATTTTTTCCTAGAAATAGGTGACAGGTAGGAGGCTTGATCAATATTGCTGAAAAGGAAGGCAGCCCTTTGACTTTATGTATAAAATGAGAAATAATTGTTACTTTCACACAAAACTAAATTTAGAAAATTTATTTTAACAGAAATGATAATACTCCACAGTTGTATGTACGAACACAGTTTAAAAAGTACAAAGGGAGGAGTCAAAGGGGTTCTCACAGGATTTGCCTCCAAGTCCAGGTGATTGTACCTCACAGTCGGAACATCTTTACTGGGCATCATCAGCCAGTAAGCTAAAATCTAAGAAACCAGCATATTAATAAAAAGACAATAAGAACATCCAAAGTGTATAGTTTCCCTCCTAACACTCATTAGCTTGCAGATTTCTCCCTTCACAGTTATTAAGTGCATGTATACATCCATTAATGTGCGCATGACTCTGTGATCTAGGCAGTCGGCATGTTGTGGTAATACCAGTGAAACAGCACAGCCTGGCGGATAGGAGAAGAAATGCAGGAGGGTTGAGATGGCAATATTGTAGGGATTGATGTCAAACGTTATGATGTGAAGTCTGTCTCAGCCAGCTTTCTTTGTGGTTGTGATACTCCTTGACATGACCAAAGGTCAAAAAGGAGCTGGAGAGAGCAGAAAAAAATATCTGAATTGGTCAGAGGATGACAGGGCAACTGCATGATTGCCCTTCTCCTTGGAGTTAAGCTGATGATACACAGAGCAACTTTTAGAGCAATCGGGCAGGGCAACGTTGCCGTCAATGGTAATGAGTAAAGACTACTACTGTAATCCCCTTCCCCCAACACGCCGCAACCTGCCCTGCACCGCCGCTATGCATTCAAAACATAGTCGGACTTGCCACTAGCAAGATTGATCAGCAGCATTGCTCAAAAAGTTGCCCCATGCATCATCAGCTTTACAGTACAGTCACTAACACAGCTCTGTTGAGTACCTCCTTTCAAAACAAACAAAAAGAAAATTCAAGTAAAACAGGATTGTGTAGGAATTATGCTATTTATCAAGGACATGGAGCATGGAGAGAGCACAGCCTGTGGGGGCAAGAAAGGGTCCAGTATATTAATGTCCTTGATGAAATCCATCAATTACTAAAATGACAATGGCTTTTTAATTTGAGCAACAAAAATTAAGAGACCGGACATTCATGTGAAGGGCATAAGCATTGGTTCTCCCCAAGCTTGTTTCTGTTACTAAACACACAAAAGGTGGTTTGTAACACTGGGCAATTGAATGTGGGGTAAATGTTAAAAATTACAGTAAAAAGGCAATACTTAAATAAAGAATAGGTAGACAATAAAAACTATATGCTAGGAGACAAATGAGCCTTAAAACATGTTCATAAAAGTTAAAAGCACTCTACTGTACTCCCAACTATACACCAATGTGCAGCTGATATTAAGTTAAAACAAACAAAAAAACACAATAAAGCTATTTGGATCTCACCGTATGCTACACAGCAGTCTTTAAGCCAAAAGCCCCTGAAGAGAAGTTCAGTAACACACAGCCCTTGAGTGTTAAAATACAAACAGTTTGAGTCAAAAAAATATAACACCCACATTCCTGTGTTGAAAAATAGACATTTTTGGCCACAAGGTCACAGTTCAGTGATGACGTCGCTTCAGTACAATGCGTGCATGGTACACTAGCTGCCTAGAGTCTCTGTCTGTGCACTATAAGCACGTACAGTATACATACACACAATTGCTTGTCTACTTGAGTGTACATGCAGTGCTGTCTTGGTCATACATTTAAATACAATTCCACAGGTGTTGTGTGATCCCCGGGTGCATGTCCAAAACAGTGAGGAACCTGTATTCTTTCTGGTGCACTTTTAAGTAGTTCAGGATGAGAATCTCTAGGGCTCAACAAATGAAGTGGTGCATTATTAACTTCTCCTTACTCACTTTGTTGTTTCAGTTCTTTAGGATTGTCAGAACAAGGAAGAAGCAGGTAAGGTGGGAAGAAGAGGGTTGTGCAGTGACACAGGGAGGACTGGCTGAGGTCTGATACCATCTTTACACATTTTCTCCTCCAAACTCGACATATTTAAAGCTTGTATCCAATCTCTCTCTCCCGTCAGAAGACGTCACTGTTGCACCCGTTAGCAAACTCGTCCCGCCGTACCCAGATGACGTCATGGTCCTTGTTTGTGGTCCCCACCACAGCACAAGGGGAGCAAGGGGGCTTCAAGGGGGCAAGCTTTATAGTCGGGGTTGCACGGCGGGACAGAGAGACACCGCAGGAGGTGAATGAGTCTACCGAGCCTGAATCATTAACGTGCTTTATTCGATCAACTTCCTCCTCCTGCATTATACTTCGGGTCTCTACTCGTCCATTCAGGTTGTGGCTCCTCACCTCTCCGCCCTGTAGTTTGAGTCCTTCCATCTTCCTCTCCAGGTCGGCCGGTTCTGCTGACGCGGCCCGGACAGACTTGCAGTACTCGTCGTCGTCGCTCAGAATGTCCGTCTCCTTCAGCTGCCCCATGTTGATGCCCTCACCCTGGTCTTCATAGCAACCCAGGTCGAACTGCTCTTCCACCCAACGGTCCGTGTCCTCTTCTTGAGGTTTACGGGACTGAAGAGCATGCTGTGACAGCTGCGAGCAGGAAGAGTGGCGGGAGGGGTCTGCATCATTGCTGTTGTTGTTGCCGCCGCCATGGAAAACCAGGTCTGTATCGATTGTGAAGCGGCTCCTCACGAGTTTCCTATGGGATAACGTTCGTGATGGTGCTGAAGCTAAACAGACAGGAAAAAGGACACAGTGTTTTAATCTTGGTACTGTCATGTATAGACAATTTTATCGACAAAGTAAGTCTGCAGCTATTGTTGTTATTTAAGAACATTTTATGGCTTCTGTGATCTAGAAGCTATACCTGCTCTGTTCATGGCGGGCCGTGCCCCTTTGAGGGCACATAGACGTTTGCCCCCAAATGGGACATACTGCTGGTTGGGTGGCATAGACTCTGTTTTAAGAAGCTGGCGGCGCTGCTTTTCCCTAAGGATGGAGTGGACTGCTTTTAGGAAGTCCTTCTTACTATCTGGAGAACTGTAGATTGGAAAAGAAAAAATCACATCAACTATGCAATGGGTCTTTTGTTCGATGTTGTATACCTTCAGTTCACGTTTTCACGTTTTGAATACGTGTGCACAAGACAATCATACCTGCAGCACAACTGAAAGGTTCTCTCTGGTCTTCCTTCAGATTCAGATCTTGTGTGAACTACCTCACACACTGCCGTTCCCTCAGAGTCTGTGAGGAGGGAAAGAGAGGCAAGATCCACATTTATATGAACATTTATTTAATTTCCGTCATCAATTTCTTTCCCTTTAACAACGGGCCATTAGGCAGATAGACGAACCCACTTGAATTGCCAGAGGCTGATTAAAAAGGTTCATCTACGACAGAGATAAGACATGAGGAAGATTGCATGCAGACCTACTAATAGGTATTCATCTGTTTTGTTTACAAAAGGTTATCATTTATTTTCTGTGGGATAGAAAAGCAGGAGCACTAAGTACACTCCAGAGCCTTTGAAGCCACTGTCAGAAAATATTGAGTCATCAAAAACAACCTCTGAGATTTGGATGACAGACTCGCATGCAAATTATCTTTGCTAGGACCTCAACATTAAAATTGAAAAACACGTTTATTCCTAAAGAATAGTTATTGGGGCTTATGTTGAGGTTCAAGTGGTGAGCAAATCTACTGGGAAAGAAGCAAAAATCTAGTCTAGACACTACCAAAATATGTGAAGTATAAATAAAATATAATAAAAGAACTTTGGTTATTTACAATTTTGGTGTAGAGTCCCATCATACGTTTTCCCACTGAACAGACTTTCATTATGGAGACATCTGGCTGAATGACAATATCAATTTTGTGGTCTATGCTTCCCAGGCAAGACAAATTAAAGTCTCCACATGGTGCCTCAAAGAGCTTTGTCTAAACATTTCAATTATTTTGCAATACATATTTTAGACTAATGACTGAATAATTAAAAAGGAATTTGATGGTACGTGTAGCATTCCAATCATGTTGCACTCTTTATCCTACTTCTTTTTTAATAATATAAAATCAATGTTATGTTCTATACTTGTTAACTAGATTGGGACAGAAAAGTGAGATAATCAGTTTGAGTGTGGTGTTTGATGATTTACTAAACTAAAACTTGCTAACAATAATCTTACATTTGCAAGGTGTTGCATTTAAATAGACCTACTTGCAAGGGAGCGGACTTGCAGAGAGTCCGTTGAGATCATGTGACGAAAACGGAAAGGATCTTTGTCATCGCTCACAGTCGCACGGTGAGTTCCACCCTGAAAGAACGAGACTGGTTGAATATCTAATACATAACCACTGCAATACATCAACATAACAGCAGAGAGCACAAGCGCGCCATGACAGAAGGGTGGTTTACCAGACACAACCATCTACTGTACAAGGCGAACAGTAAAGTGCTCATATAAAGCCTCTTCAGTCTAGTTCAATTGCCAATAGCTACCCTCATTCAATTCAGTCTATTATCCCTTGATGAAAGACATTAACCTTAATTTCTTTGTGGTCTCAATGTGCCATCCAAGAGTAAAAACAGAGCACATCAGAAGAAGCCCAGAGCCCCAATCTGCACAGTACATCCTCAAACACAAGTGTCTCTCTGGATTAATCAAAAGAAAATAAAAGAAAATAAAAGAAATAGTACTTACGATTTTTTTCCTGTGCTTGGAGCAGTCTTTGTACACAAATACAACTGCTGTTTTGAACACTAAATTAGGGCAGGGGAGAGATGAAGAGGAAAATGAAAGAAACCATTAGGAGGGTCTGCTTTCCTTCATTGCATTTATCAGAAGACATTTCATTACCCATTTTCTTACAGTGACAGCTTAATGCAGCATGTCAATGGATGCTTTTAGTTACAGCTTTCGAGGAAAAACAGCCTCAAACTACTTGCATACTATATCAGCAGCACAAGAGTCACAAGATTGCACGCACAAAGCAACCACTTCCACTCACAATCATCATGCCAGCCCCTTTTACCATTCAGATGTGATATTTATTGCCAAAAGTGTCTCATTTTGAGTAGAATCTCAAGATAGATTGCACTTCTGGATGTGGGAGTTCCACATGATGTCATTAATGTGACTGTTACATGTGGCACTTGAAAAGTCACAAATATCCCTCACGTAATATGCCCGACTGGACCTTCCTTTTACAGAATCCATTTCTTCACTATCCAAAATAGCACCCAGCATCACACTATGCAGGCAGTATTATGTGGGATACAGTAGTGCAATGTGCCTGCAATGTTAAATACTCTTATATACACAGTAATCAGTATTTCTCTAGAGCAGAGAACATTAAAGCATACAGTAGAACTGCATATCTACTGTATATGGAAAATATGTTTATTAATCTTTCAAACATCCCTGTCTGTGTCTGTCTTTCAAGCGTGGGGATGTGTGCTTTACAGGTCATCTGTCCATCTGAAATCCTGCAGATATTAAAGTTATGCAATGCTTTCACCAATCCTGTGCAGAAAGATTTCATCTATTTTGTACATATTCATATTGAAGAGTTTGTCTTGAAAAACAAAACTGTAGAATGTTTCTATTCATCATAACTCAAAACATCCACAAAATGGACAGTTTATTTGCAATGCAACTAAGCCTAACATCAATATAATAAATTCTACCTTTATGAAGCCATATTATGTCTTCGGTATATCATATAGGATTTTTTTTCCAAGGCTGTTGAATTTCATTGCACTAGATATCTAAACCAACTGTTAGGAATAACACTCTTCTAAATATAAAACTGACACAAAGCGACTTACAATTGATATGTATGTCAGAGGTCACACACCTCTGGAGCAACTAGGGGTTAAGTGTCTTGCTCAGGGACACATTGGTGGATGTGTCACAGTGGGGAATTGAACCTAGGTCTCTCACACGAAAGGCATGCGTCTTCTCTACTGCGTCATCACCACCCTGAATACTTCTAGTCTAGCTGTTATCTGTAAAAAAAAGTCTATCCTGTATAGACAGTTGAAACTTATAGAAATATAAAGCAAGCCAACATTAAGGTAGAGTCAGTTCCACAATGTAATCCACATTAACCCTTACCAAAAGCAGCCAATTCAGTATCCTTTTTGCTCTTGACCAAATAGGCTGGAGGGTTGATCCACACCACAGTACAATGCAGCAAAAGATCCCCCATCGACAGGTCAGCCACCTGAGATAAATATAATTAATAAAACATAGTAAAAATGTAAATTTAAGTAACTGATATTTCACTGGGTTGATAATTGATAACCCTGAATAAAATGGTGGCTATCATATTTACCTCTTTTTTATCTGCAGTTTGTTCATTGATGAGCTGGTCAAAAACCGCACCGTACTCCTCATGAAGCTTTTGCATCTCATTGATGTGGCTCGCAACTTTGTTCATGGCCTTCATTGCAACTGAAAGGACAAACATTTTACATTTATCATCCAAATCATAATTACCATAATTCTTTGTATCCCCATTACGTATAGTTCCAGTTAGTGGGTCTGGAGCATATATAATATATTGTTTCACAGCACCTTAACCTGTTACATCAAAAAGTGTATAGGAATAATAAATCTTTGTTTGTTTATTTAAATGACACTGGCTTACCATCCAGATGGTAGTGTTCCTCACTGTCTGAGTCAGTGAGAGAGTACAGCTCCTTTAGCAGCAGTGGGTACTTCAGGACCCTCTGGATGGGTTTGATCAGGTAAGACTCTAGAGTGGATGAATGTTGCTGTCTGGGGTTTCTCTCAGCCAGGAAAGCTTTGAAATCTGGGTCGGTCTTTGCTGGAGGAGCAGAAATATGAACATTCATTCATCTTGTACATGGGGCAAGGAAACACTGAAACAGATGCAGACAACTCTATCTAAAGCCACTGTGTGTGGAGAACTTGCATCTAAAGATCAGTCAAGTTTACTCACACTCACTGTGGGCGGATACTAGTTGCTGCTTGCACTCTGTACTAGGGGGCAAGCCACTAAACAACATGCTTCCTATAAAACACTAGCCCCTCAGCTATCACATGCCACTGTGTGACTCTCAGGGGTAAGTGGTGGCTGTGTGCTAGATGCCAGTCAAGAATGTGCGCAAGTTTGTACCTTTAGCCAGGACCTTTGGGACCTTGGTGTGGCTGGCGCAGAAGGCGCTGTAGATCTTGAAGCGATCAGCATAATACAGGAATGAACCACCCAAGGAGAACAGCACTTTCTGTGGAAACAAACATGTCATGCTTTCACAGTCAAAATCTTTTAAAATCAAGGCTACGCTATGGTGTTGGCAATTAAGTTTTTGAAAGACAGTTAGGCAAATATCAAATTTCTAAAGTGTTCTGATTGGGATACCCAAAGTCATTGTTTGTACTGCTGTGCCTGTCCAAAAGCTGTTAGGGCATACATAAGTGCACCATGACACTTTGAGCCATGAATTATCCAACTAATGGCCAGTTCAAAAGAGCAACACCTAGTAAAGCAATTCTAAAGTGACACAAGAGGATTAAAACTGAATGATGCACTGAGTTCAAAAGATCAACCTTCCCTTACCTTGAACTGCTCCACCCTTTCCAGTCTGTCCAGATTGGGCACCAGCCTGATTCCATCTTCCAGCGTCCGGAGAAACTCCACCTGGAACTCTACCATCTCGCCAAGGTTACCGAACAAAACGTCCAGCTGCAACACACACGGAGCATCATTCTGACACTGCTCCTACCATAACGTCAGTGTTTAGTTTATGTATATCTATAACAATTCATATACAGGCTTTTATGCTTGGATTATAGAGATCGGGTAGAACAGTACCTCATCCTGCGTAAGGAAGCTCTCTTTCTGCAGAGGCGTCAAGTAGCATTCTATCAGGCAGTTCAGGTCCTAAAAAAAAAAAAAAAAAAAAAAAAAAAAAAAAAGAAAATGACAAGGAACATTAACAGATCAGCCTGTGACCAGATGAGTGCGGAAGGGCATACGTGGGCATCTGTGTGGAGTAGTCAGAGGTTTTTAAATAACAGCAAAGACATAAAGACTCACAGGTATGAAAACAACCCATGTGCCGCGAAAAGCATGTTCACATCTGTAATAATTATGACTCCCAACAACATTAATTAAGTGTAGTTTTGCCAGAGCAGTCATGAGTATAAGATTATGTGTGTCCATTGTGATTAGACACATGGATGGCTGACTCACTAGGTAAAGATAGTCTGAATCAATTCATAACACTCCACAAGAGCTTGTACTGACGTTTACGTAAGTCTTCTCCGTCTCCACCAGTTCATTGATGACCTTGCGGAGTTTGTCTGCATGGGAGAGCTGTCTCTGCGTAGCAGTGCCCGCCGTGGGTGGTAAAGCTGACACAGGGCTCGGGGAGAGGGATGACGAAGACGACGATGAGGAGGATGACATAGGGCACTCCAGGGAATTCATGTCATGGAGACTGCGGCAGAAAGCAGTGACCTGCTCTGTGCTCTGCACAGGAAGAGACAAAGAAACAGAACAGTTCATATTTTCACGCATTTGTAGAATTTTATGGCAGAGAAGGCTGCGACTGGAGCAATCGGACACTTAAATTCTCCTGACAGTCACAGTAAGAGGAAAAGGAAATACAAAAAACATAAAACTGGATGTAGGCTTGTGTGGAACAAAAACAAGGATATCACATACCTACATTATTAAAGTTCATACAGTAAATGCACCACAGTTGAAATATGCACCAACAATACATTCTTGCAAAACCTGCCATAACACCACTCACCTGGTATCAAATACCAAACATGAGCAGACCTGCCAGGCCAAACTCGTAGTAGGCCTATTTTTAAAATGAAATAGCGGGCTCTGCTCCTCAGACTCTGACTATACAGACAAACATTAGTTGATAATTGCTTCTACTCTTAAACTAAGAAGTCATACATTCCTTATTCAGTGTTGATAAAGATCATAAGAAACTATGCTTTGCAAAGTTAAGGTCAGCTTCTGAAAAAAAGCTCGGATGAATCATCTAAAAGACGCAGTGATGCGTTTAAGAATTACATCCTGGAACCCACAAGGTCAAATAGTTGGGATCAACAGGTTCTGTCCACATCTAACTTTCTTTCATAGTCATAGCTGTGAAGTTGAAAGCAGGCATTGGGGATTAAGGGAAAAAAAGTAACAGAAGCATAATCAGAAGTGAGAGGCAAATCTGAAGTGTACCATGACTAATACAGCAATTCTTATTCCTACAATTCCATAAATAATTATAATCCTTTCCAGTTTCTGCAAATACAACCTTTTTATTTACTTGCTATTCCACCATTTCTGGATTGATATCACCATTGGTAAATCTGTGGATTCATGGGATTGTTTGCAAGCCAGACCAGCTGTTGCTATGACTGTGAGGTCTGTTGAGAGATGGAAAGAGAGATAAATGGACATTTACCTCTTTTCATCGTCTCTACTCAGCCAGAACTAGTATATTAAAAGACAATTAGGATAAAATAATCTCCTTGAAATGTGGGGGGAATGAATGAGCTCAGCCCACACTCCGAACACTAAGTGCAAGGGATTCATACTCCATGGCTCATTCAATGTAACCCCATGTCCAAGACCAATCATGAACGCAATTGCGCTGTAACTGTCGTTTAAAAGAAATTAAAAGCTAGGACTTGATAAGACACAGACAGTGACTCATTGCAGTGGAACTTTGTTGTGTGCAGCTGATCAGGTGATAAGCCTAAATCTGTATCTGCAGAGAACACAAAGCAGAAGCAATGAGATTTTCAGCCATAGTTTAGTTTGACAGGATAAATGCTTCTAATTTGACCCTGCAGTCAGTGTTCTTCATAAAAGTGCTTTTGTAAATGCCACAAACATTCTTCATCCGTGTGGGATCAGTGAAACTGATCATCAATTGCAATCTATGTTACGAAATTGTGCCTGCTTGTGTGTCTCTACCGACACTGATACAGCTGATCAGATGTAATCTTTGCTGATTCCATGGCTTGTCTCCTGTTACTGTAGCAATGACAAACACAATTTTCCATCGTGGTATTGAAGCCAGTTTTGCTAGATATACTGGAAATTCAAGACTGCTGGACACCCACCACTGAAATTCCTCCTATTAAATAAGATGAGCTCCTTCAGTGATTAAAAGGAAAACCACCAAATAATAAAGTAAACAAAGTATGTAATGCAAGTAAAATTATGTAGCCTATAATATCTTATTAAATCCTTGCTAATGCCCACGTCACTCACACATTGAGCACCACTTACTGTCATGTTATAACATCTAAAAAAGGAGTATCTGCATTGCCGACAATTAAAAACTTCCCAAACTGGTCTGACAGAAACACAATTTATTGTTTGACTTGGTGGCCAATATTCAAAATATGTTAAATTAAAAGAAAATTCTGTTGCCCATGGACAAATTATCAAAACAAACAAACAAAAAAATCCAACAAACACTAAACATGCCTGTTTTTTTATACACAAAAAACCCCCCACCAGAAATGCTATTGACATTCTTGCCACTCATAAGCGAGGTCTTGCCCTTGCCCTCTGCCAGAGGAATTAGTGACAGCCAAGTGACAGATGGAGCAGCGACAGAGACAGATGACAGCGGGAGATGGAGACAGGACGAGCTGGAGAAGCATGGCTGCAAAATGCTTTACCACCAAGACTACTTAAGGAAAGGGAAGCCTGACTATTCAACTTTCTGAACTGAATTGTTATATTTGAAGCATTGCATCCTGCAGAAGCAATGCTTGTTTAACAACAGTGAATAATGTTTTATTCATTCCACTGAAACATGACAATATGATCAAGTCTGAAAACTGCAGGTCATATAGTCACAATGTGTGATAAGACAAATCTTACATTAATGGTTAGAATGGGTTGCTCCACTGGCAACTGAACCTTGGCACTGCTGGTACTGTCACATAATCTGCAGAATAATCATATCCACAATATAATCGCGCACGCACACACACTCTCTCTGCAGGGCTCACCGGCTGTAGCATGTCATAGATGGATTCGGTCGAGCATTTAGATCTCCTGCGCCTCCTAAAGGCAGACATGCTAGTAGGTCAAACAGAGCTCAACAAGAAGTCAGGTGTCCATTTCCAGTCCTGCTTTTCCAGAACAGCTAGAGTCCATTCCTGTGTCACTCAGTGCCAGAAGGATTTGTTGTCTTTCCACTCCAAAATGTATGACTGGTACACTATGCGGGATGTATGAAGCTTCAACGTGTCCAGCCAAACTGATCAAAAAGTGTAAAAGTAAAAAAAACGCCTGCTACTCAAAACATTGCTCTGCAAAACACTACTGCTGCTAAAATCATTAGCATCGCAGCTGAACAAATACCTCATTACACAGATTGAAAAGAACAGATTGCAATAAACCGCGCGCTCATGGCACATCATCCAACGGCGTCTACCCAATCAAGTCTCTTTCTCAATCCCCCCCTTTCTTTGCATGCTTCCCCTATCACTCGCTTCTTCTCCTCCTTCTCTCTCCACCTCTGTCCTTGTTGCCTCTCTCACTTCTGTCCAGGTGAGAGCAGCAGCACCACTATAGAACACAACATTAAATAACAAGATCAAAACATCACATCCTCATGAGAGATGGAATAGGGGGAGGAGAAAGGAGGGAGGTGAGGAAGCAGTGGGTGGTGAGAGCCTACCAGGCATCTGGTCTCTCTCTCTCTCTCTCATAATCACAGCACAGAGAGAATGATGTCACCACACTTGAGAAGGACAGCTGCCTTATTAAACAAAAAGTAAATATGTATTTGAGCTAGCTCTCATGCCGCAAAATGACTCACTGAAACGCCCCAAGCATCAACTCGTGTGCCAACAGCACAATGCAATAATTTCCAGAAAGATTATGTGATCAAAAGGAACAATGTGGAAACCAATTTGACATAAAAACATACCTAGCAAAATAATTATTACACCTGGTCATTAAAAGCAGCTTTAAGTAGATGCTACAAACGATTTGTTCGATGTCTGACTGGAGTATGAAGTTTAAAACCATAATAATTGCTTCCCTCTAAAGCCTGAAATTCATGTGCCAACACCACGCTTGTTACAATCCAAAAATGGCTTGCCACACCTGCTGCACATTTGTTCCTAACAAACTAGAATTCCACAATACTTGCAGGAATAAGATCATGCCATGCAGAGATAAGCAAAGAATGCTGACTACGAACAAAAGGTTGAGGATTTCCAAATGTTTGTGATTAAAATCTTAGTTGAAAAAGATCTTTAAAAAAATATTGCTGTCAACTTTGAGGATACTAAAAGGTAAAGGCATTTTCTTTAATCACAAAATCAGTAAATCGGCAAATAAGCATGTGCACACACACCCCAGCATAGACCTCAGACAACAGCTTAGGAAAAAAAACAAAACAAATGACATGCAGGGAGCAAGTAATGAAAGAGAGCCCCGGTATCAATACCTTTTCTCTAGTCAGTCCAATACACTAATTTCCTAACACAGACAAGCCTTTACCCTTTTACAGAATGTACTACATCCTAGACGCGCCCTGAAGTGAAGCACGAGGGAGGAGCGTGGAGGCATGTACAAACCTGCACTCCATGTAAACCATGTACAGTGAGAGTCAGGATCAACAGAGATTACACATATCCACATTCTTGGCATACAGAAACACATCACAAACAAACACACTTACTTATACACACCTAAAGTGTATTGCATTATGAACTGCAGAATTATACACATACATGCAAGTAGAATACAGCAATTTTGACAGCACATGCTCATCTCTTATTCCCCCTTGGAGTGTGTTTCACAGAAAGAACAGGCATGGACTTGCCAATGTGAGTGAACACAGGAGAGGAAGGGAGGGAGGGAGAGTCTGAAAGTTCAGTTTCATCTAAAGTCAGGGAAACATGCAAATCCATAAATCCCTACAAGGAATGATGGGATATACGCCATGACTGAGAGAGAGACTTTAATCATTTAATCTGAAGTGAAAGGATGATTATGTTATGACATGAGTGTTCACAAATCTATGAACATTTAGACTTTGAAGCAGTTGCAGTCACCAAGCCTCTTCCCAACTCTGGGAATCTACGAGGGTAAAGAGTGTTAAGTGCAAGGCATTTTCTTTCCGTCTTTCCTTGACAGTAGTGATTACGTGGCATTAATATTTAACAACATCCTTTAGGTTGTATGCTATATAATAAGATTTTAAAACAAGGAATGAAATCTAGAAATGGCTGAACACTGAAATATTCTCCTCAATATTGGAAATCATACTAGTTCAGAATCATACTAATTCTGAACTAGGTCTGTTGTTGGTTGCATGCTCAGCGTCACAAACATTCTTTTACAGGCTTCATTCATCAGCACAGTGCTCCCTCCAGTGGAAGGCTGCAAAATGACAGCAACATCTGTAAGGCCTGACTAAGAATCAGTGGGGAGAGGCAAGTTGAGGCACTAAAGTTATAGATTCTTAGTTGTCAGTATCTATATTAAACAAAATGCACTGCATGCATGGAGCCATTTAACAGACGTTTTCCAATCAGGAGTCAATTAAAACAAACCTTGATGACCCCCCCCCCATCTTCACACAATGAATAATGCATTTTCCATTTCAAATGCCCTAAAGCAAAAATGATATAGTTTTGTCAATTATAACCAGCACTCGTCAGTGAGGCTGACTACACCTTGGAGAACACTAGCAATCACCGTCATCTCTATTATCGCTGTAATCGCAAGCAATCGCCATTTTATTCTCTGGTTGTCATATCATATTGAGGAGGTGGCTCTGTGCTTTGTCTAAAATAATGAACCTCCCAGTTTCCTCCGGCTAGCCACACACTCATTTATCTCCACTAAATGATGTGAAACACTGCAGAGAATGAAGTAATTAGAATGTGGGGATAATTAAAATTGTCCCACTTTGCCTCTTTTTCCCTCCGTCTTGCCACCATGTGACTGCAGGCACTGGGTGAAAGGAGGCAAGACGCAATCCATAGCGCTTTGGAGCTTTTCCAGAGAGCAGAGCGGGGAAACAAAACCTTGATCAACATGAGCACAAACAGGGTCAACCCAAATTTTTAAGATAAAATGACATGGTTTTGAAAGTTCCCAGGGATTTTGTAGCGAGTTTGGATGGTCTTTGTTGACAGAGGAAGCATTCAAGTGCTTCAGGCTCAGGTCAGGGCCCACAGCCGGCTGGAGAGCTAAGGGAGCCGAGCTGTTTCAGAGCCAACAGCGGCCTCATGTTGTTTATGTCAATGAACAGCAGGGGGTTAGCGAGGAGGAGGAGGATGGTAAAGAAGGACAGGAAGTCATAAGGAAACTGGAAGGACAGGAAAAAAAAAAAAGCAAAAAGGACAGCAGATAAGGAGACAGGATGATCAGAAAGGACAAATAGAATAAAAAGACACTGGCCTGTTGTATCAGAGAGGACACGGATACATTGTTGCTGACAATACATAATTTTAGCCAAGGAAAAAGGGTGGAAAAAACAGGATGAAAGGGAGGCTAAAACAGAGCAGATAGAAATTAGTTGAAAAATGAGACCACACATTTTAGGAGGAGAATGAAAGGTGAAATGAAGATCATAGATTTCCAAAGTTTTATTAATACTGTTTTGCCCTATATCGCCTTGCTTTTACAGCTTTTTCCCCCCCGTTCTTATGTGAAGAGCCTTGGATAATAGAAAAAAAGCACATGTCTAAGCATAAAGCACCAAGGGACAACATTACAGACATGGGTAGACAATATTCCAGTCTCAAGTCTTCATTATTGTGTCTCCAAAGAAACATACACATGGGATCTAGTGATGTTAACACCTCAACATAGTATTCATTGTACATACAAAAAAGAGGAAAAAAAGGAAAATGTGCCCTCATTTAATGGTAATAAGATGCTATGGTGAAAATATAAACACAGTATAAAATAACATATGGCTACTCTGGCACTGCCTAAACTTTTCAACATTAAAATTATTCAACTGCACACTATTCAGAACGTACTACATAAAGATTGCATGCTGCATTTTGTGTTATATACACAGTTTCTTCTTGCATGTAGAAACACTAAGCTTAAAATAGCAAAGGCCTATAAATGTTAATTAAAATCTGTGCAGAGGTCCAAGCAGTTTAACAAGTTTAGAATCACTAAATGCCCCCCCGCCCAACATCAAGTGCACAAGATTTAAGCAGGCCTCTGGTCTCTTTCCAGCAATCCTGGCAACCCTATCTGTCGGAATTTCTCTCATCTTCGCTAAACTAATAATGGCACATCGGAGTCACAGAATCATCACTGTCCAACAGGACTGAGTCTAGACTGGAGCCAGCTCTGACCTCACCCATTAGTTCGCTCTCGAGACTGAAGCTCACTGACACATATCCAAGAGAGAACACAGCACTGTCCCTGCACTTTTCTCATCTTTTGTCTGGGCTATCGACAGAGAAGTACAAAAAAAAAAAAAGACATTACCCATGGTAATGGAAGCGACAACCGTAACCAAGGGAGACTGGCTGGCACACGGCGTGTCCCAGCGATCACTGTGCTGACCCTGATCAGACCAGACATCATCTTAATTAGAAAGCGATGCTGTTCACTCACCTGTCTGTCATCATCCGTGCTTCAGAGCACACACACATCTGTTCATGTGCGAGGACTGACAGATTCACATCACAAAGTACATTCATGTGATATGTTGTCAGCACTGTATAAAAACTGATCTGCTACTATGTTAGAATGTGATTAAGATCAGTGTTCAGCAACAGTTTTCGGTTTCCACAGAAATTTACTGAATGAATTAACCATCAAGCTGGACTTGAATTTACTAAAAAGCAACTTCAAAGACCTTGTGCGTGTGAAATATGGCGAGAGAGAGAGAGAGAGAGAGAGAGAGAGAGAGAGAGAGAGAGAGAGAGAGAGAGAGAGAGAGAGAGAGAGAGAGAGAGAGAGAGAGAGAGAGAGATCTGAAATGGGTGAAGAAATATTTAGTATAAAAAGGACCTGCCAGAGGAGTTTATATAATCATTAACACATGGATACACACCATTTATTCACACATTAGATTATTGATCAATGATATCAGTGTTTTCCTTTTCTGTCTGAGAGGGCTGACATCAGAAACAATGAGAAATGTCTGCAGGCTAAAAGATGGCAACACAACAAGGCAGCTAGTCAGTCACTTCAAACACTAGCACTTGTCCACAGGTCTCACTCACTGTCTCACCCCCCCCCCAAAAGCTGCTGGTCTTTGTCTGCAACAATACATCTGATGGTTTGAACAATACTCCATCCTTTGTAGAACTTGGCCTGCTCTGCATGTTCAGTGCATTCAAAGTAGTCAAGTATTCAGAACCCTTCACTTTTTAAATTTTTTTTAAGTCGCAGCCTTATAACATTTTCTGAATTCATGATTTCCCTCAACATGGTAAAACAAAACAGGATTTTTGAATTATTTAGAAGTTAATTTAAAAAACAAAACATATTGACAGGTATTCAGGCCCTCAGTTCAGTACTTTGCTTTGAGTCATTGTCCTGCTGGAAGGTCAACCTTCAGCCCAGTCCGAGGGCTTGAGCGCTCTGGACCAGGTTTTCATTAAGATCTCTCTGTTCAGGCTGCAACATAACTTGTGAAAAATGTGAAGGGGTCTGAATAGTTTCTGAATATGTGGTCTGTGAATGTTTGTATAAATATCAAAGCTGTGTCTCTGCATGCCATATCCTACCTTCTGTCCAGATCCCATACAGGTTTTGTCTTCCTGATGACCTCCTCTGCTCTGTAGGGTCAGCAGAGATCCTTCCTCCAAACTTTCATCTGGGCTATTCACTGTCAACCCTGACACCTCATCCAGGATGTCCTCTACAGACAGAGACAAAGGACAGAACTCACTAGGGAGCAGGTGCACATATACACTGTGTGTACCCAAATATCAGAAACTTCTCCCTCATAATCAGAGCCGATTTCATAAAAATCTATTTCTAATCTAAATTTATTTGATTCGCTACACTTCCTCCTTTAATAGTGTTAAGAGAAATCTGAGTGGCCAGGTATCCGTCAGGATTCGTGCACTGTACACTTACAGAGAAACCTGTAATTAGATATCCCTACTCCCTCCAACATTGCTTTCTCCACCTTCAAGTTACATTCCCTATGACCCTTAGCTTTTCTTATTATGATATGACTGTACAGTCAAATTTGTTATTATTCCATCCATGACAAATTTCCAATTTAATGTCTCCTCTGTGGTGACAGCTTCTTGTGTACACCCATCTCCTTTTAAGCAAGATCTCATCGATAACCATCTGCCTTCTGGAGTGTTTTTTTCTTTCAGTCTGACCCTTTGCATATGGCATATCCTACACAATGACAGCTCCACACTACTGAAGGATTTATATTAATATTCATACTGCTCTGAGTTCCTGTATAAACAATGCCAGCTTGTCAGCCCGTGCACTGCAAGCCCCAATTTATAAAAGGAATACAAATGGTGCCCTTGCATAGATAAAAAGAGCAGGTCAGAGGAAAGCTGGCGGCTGCCTGCAGGTTGCTTAGCAGACAGCATCAATGCATAATTAGTAGATTGCCCTATTCACCCTCTGCTTATAAAAGATCACCATCTGCATTCTCCCTCTTTTCGCCACACAAAATTGGGGGTTTAGAGGATCTATAATGAAATATGTCAAGAAACATGAATAAAAACTAAAATGGACATAAAAAAGAGGTACTGTGTAATTTTCAATTGCATGATCTAAAGTGTTTTTTTCCTTCTTATGTTTTTCAAAGATTACATGTATCAAAAGCAAGTTTACTCTCCACACTTGACCTTCTTGCTTTCACTTGATTTGAGGGCCCCCCACTAGAGGACAGTGTTTGTATACATCATCTCGTGAAACAAAACAACAACAACTCATACCCAGGTATCCACACTGTGTTTATATAGAACAGGAAGCTTTACCTTGGCTCTGGGAGAAGATGTCTGTGGCCAGATCTTGCTCCCCATCGGAGCGCCGTGGTGGAAAGGAGCAAAGCACCCGAGGGTCCAGCTGGGAGAGGGTACTGACACTTAAGGTCAACGCTTGGTTTACAAACACAGCCCTCAGATCATCCATTTGGAGGTCAGATGCAGCTTTACCATTCAGCAACAGAATCTCATCCCCTGCTTTCAAACCTGGTGGACAATTAAAGAACACAAAGTCAGAAATGTAAAACTCAGCTTATACTCCTTAAATGCTGACAGCAGTTGTATCATTTAAAAGTGGCATAATTTTTGGGAGAAACTGCAAAAGAAAGACTGAGACAGCAAACAACCACAAAGCACCATCCAATAGAGTAGCTTTCCTGTGGGCCATCAACTCAAGAGTGCTAATGTGTACAAAGGCTCTACACAAACAAAATGGTAGTGCCGCACTCCCCAGCAGCTCTCTGGCTAATCAGGCATGTTGGGATTCTAATGTGTGCAATACATTAAAACGCATCCTTCTATGCTTGATCCCTTGAGGCAAATGCTGATCTAACAAGACTGGATGGGTTTAAGAAGGAGGGTGCAATGTCCGTCTATTCCTGTCATCACCTATACTATCCTGTACTAAACACAAAAAAAGAAACCACAGCCTTCACTGGAACACAGCTTCTGTTTGAGGCTTTTTTTTCTCGCCCCTCCCCTCGACCACCTGTGCCCAGCCCTGCTAATTGACAATTAGCGCTAAATCAGCCGACCAATTAGCAGACAGCCCTAGCCAATAAACGTGATTGGTTGTGATACCTTCTGGACAAGAGTCTCACCATCCCTCGCTGTGGAATTAAGTAAAACAAAGGGTTTTGGTCCTGTTAACACAGTCACATATTATCATTGTTTTCTCATTTTTATATCATCTGCTATAGTAGAAAGAGCAGACATTCTGTGATATGGTTTTCATAAAGCTACAGACAAATGCAGGCACACACAGTAACATATACAGACACACAAGGCACACATTCAGCCCTAAGTTATGACCTAGTTGTCTGGGATGTGAAATGTCAGCTGTAGCAGAGTCTTTATTGGGCAGAGAGAGATAATCCCTCTGGCCATATACTGCGGTGTGTGTATGACTCTGTGTGCTCGGCTGTGTGTGTGTGTGTGTGTGTGTGTGTGTGTGTGTGTGTGTGTGTGGCTTGTGTGTTTCTTTGTGTGCTCTTCTGTAGGGGGAGGGAGCAGGAATTACAGTGAGATAGAAAAAAGACCCTTTGGGGCTCCTTGTCCAGTGTTGGCCTGGTTTCTGCGTATACCCTGGAGAAAATGAAGCGTGATCTCTTTCACTCTCCATTCATTCCCCTCACACTTAGTAAAACCCATGCACGCACAACCAGACTCATCCCAGCGTACACATGGACCTACGCATGTCGTGCCTGACATACTTAATTCTGTGATTCAGCAAAATATAGTATAATATTCCAAAAAGATGCATTGCGTTTTCTGGATGCCACAAGCTTTTTCTATCTCTACTCTCATATAGAGGTTGAGAGTCAGTCTCTAGCTGCCTGCTAAGCTAGCAGCTTTTAGATTGCTAATGCAATGGAGGACACAATTTCACACTTGAGTAACCTCAGTGTGATCCTGGGGCACAATAGTGGAGCATGTTTTTTTTCTATACATTAGTGTTGTATCTACAGAGCGGCCATGTGTTTCTCAAACCCATTAGGCCTCTGTGGCTCTTTTAAAAGATAGGGACCAATGAGTGGGGGTTGATCTCTAGACCCGGTTGTTCAAACGGCGATCAGACGCAGACAAAGGAATGCAGAGAGAAAGCCACAAATTCATAGCTCCTACGCAATCTTTTTATTTTTTATTTAATACATCAGAGTTTTGGCACATCATGCCCTTTTCAGGATAAAAGCCAGTAATCATCAGACTGATAAATATAGTGTGTGAGACAAGTGATTCAAATCTTTTTATACTTATTGATGCAAGCACCCAGATGTTTCTCTAATTTGTGATTTTCACTCTGTTTTGTAGTTGCTGGTTCATATCATGTGGACATGTTGGAGGCCTTTCTTGGCTGTGAATTACCCCTTTATGGACTAAATTTCAAAGTTTATGTTGATTGCCTTGTAAATACTCAAAAGGGCAAAGTGTGCCAAAATGTTGATCAGCAGAATTAAAAATAAAGAGACTGCATCATCTACTGTACCTTCAAGCATGTGTGAACGCCTTTCTAGACAAGGTGTACATTTTCTTTCATCTCTTCTCTGCTCCTTCTTAAGCCACCAGGCTTCTCTCTCCCACACAAAAGAGATTTAGCTACGTTGGCTCAGCAATTAATGCGATGCAGTCACACAAAGCAGCACTGATAAGATGTCATGTGGAATGGCTCAGGTGAGGTGTAGATAAATAGCTACTTTACTCATCCCCAATGTCAACTGCAATGTGCAATTCCACTCAAGAAAGAAATATGTACCAAGCTTTCACATACCCTAAACCCAGTTTTTACTGCATTCAGATTCAACTATGGTAATTGTTTAGTTTGTTTTGTCTTCTATGTCTGAATATCAACTCTCAGGACACTGAATGTACAGTACACTACACTATGTTTGTCAGTAAAAAAAGAAATGTGTACCTTTAGCTGAGGCCAGTCCCTCTGCTTTCACTTCAGTAATATGGAGCTGCTGCATCCCGTCCTCATCTATAACTGCCACAGAAAACCCTATTGACATAAATAATTAGAGAGAGATTCAGTCATTAATGTTTAGTCCTCTTTGAAATATCTCAAATTGACTTGCTGCAGCATAACTACCGACCAATTACATCTACTTAAGAAAAATGCGCTCACACTGGGTCATCCCCCTTTAGTCAAAGCCATGACTCATTGAAGTCTATTACATAATCAATTTGATACAGAACTTGAGAGTATGACATGAACTGAGTCTGTTTAGCTCAAAAAGGGCTTTTGTCAGAGACAAGCATACCGTATCCAATGGTGCAGGACTCTGCTTTGTCAAACTGGATCACCTTGGTAGCTTTGGGGCAAATCTCAATCTCTTTGTAGAGCTGTAAACACAAGAAATTTATATTTTACTGGCAAAAAATGAAAGGATAGCGGTGGCGTTGGATGGAGAATGTCAAGGTCATGTTATCGCTCTTAATAAGGAACAGGCAGATTCATGTATTATTCAGGCTCCTTAACAGAGCAAACACGTGTGAAGGTTGTGGGGTTACAAGCCAGGTCAATTCTGAGAAGTGAGTGGGTGCTCAGGCTGGGGTTTGACCTCGAGAGCATAGACACAGCTGTGTGTATGAAGCAACAGACAGGAACAGAAGTCGGCAGTGTGTAATGCGCGTCACTGTGGAGAAATAATAATGTAATATCATAGACTAAGGATGAAAGAGGGTGAAATGAGTCACTGATCAAAGCAGAAAGATAAAAGACCTCTTAAGAAAAAGAGCGAGTTACACAATGACTTTGCTTTGAGACAGAGTTCAGTGTATCACCTACAAAGCACGGTCACAAAGAGAATTAGGTTGGGGGTTTACAGTGGCTGAATAATGTGGAGGTGAGGTATTTTTCAATGAGAGTGATTGTTCATAATGAATAATAAGAAAAGTACAAACACGGGCACACAAACACACACATGGGTACAGTTCATGGTGCACGTCCACTTGGAATACTATTTTGCATAATTCATAGCTTATGCGATGAAGCTTCTGTTGCATCCAGGGAATTTTGTATGCATTGCAAATTAAATTTGCAACCAAATTTGCAACCAAGTCATAAAAAATGCACAAGCTTGCATCCAGATCTGCCTGAAATGAAACAAAAATTTATTCATAATAAGGTGAAGACCCCAAAATCCAAATGGGACATCGTGTCTCCGCTCAGCCTGTAATCTAACAAAAAAGAAAACTTTGATTTACACAAATAATAACTGTACTCCATATCTTTCATTATTGGATATGGGTGTTGTCCATCACAAGCAGTTTTCACAGTGTTTCAGTGTGTGTTTCCTCACCAGATCAGAGATGTCCTCTTCACGCTTGGGAACAAAAAAGAGGATTTGGTTGTCAATCCACACCTTCAAACGCAAGTAATGGCCATAGGGGTCTATCTTATGAGTCTGGAGGCAACAAAACAGGAGGGCAATAAAGAGAAAGACATGTTTAAGTGGAGGAAACAGCCAATGCATTCATTCTTTCATTCAACATAAGACATAATCACTCTTCATTAATTGTGCTTTATTATCTGCAGTGTTCAGTTTGAAGCCAAGCCTGTCTTCTCATAGATATTTTAAACTAATTCCCCTTACCATTCCCACATTCTAAAGTTCATGACATACCCTGGCAAAGGACATAAACATATATGTATTCAATCATGTATGTAATCCACGTATATCTGCGTGTATGTAATGCACAGGGGCCATCAATAAGGACGCTACAGTTCTTTGTGTGAGATGTTTGTGGCATGCATGCGCATGAACGCCCACACACACGTCGATCAGCTTTACACATGTGTTTCAACAGACCCTTAAGTGGAACACATACGTATCATTAGGCATCATTATTCTAGTGTGTCTCTAGCTGACACCAATTAGGGAGAAGAGGAGTGGAGAGAAATTGACAAGACTGTGTGAGACAGTAATATGCAGTATATATAGTAAGGTAAGAAAATAATAGTAATAATAAGAAAATATCTGTGACAATGTCAGTCTACAAGCACAGACGACATCTGCAGTGTTTACTTTTTTGCCTTGCTATTAGTACCACAGACAGTCTCACATCTCAGGTATTCTCGGATCCATCAGATCAGATCATCGGATTGATCAGCTGCATCTAATTGTCCACGTTGTTTTCCTGTTACCCTGAACTGAATTTTAAAAAGCTGACTTTTACATCTGGTACCTGTCTTCAGCTGTCAACACAAGACAAGATTTCATTATCCTTATCTAACCACTTATGAAATTCTTAACTCCCCTCGAAAGAGCTGTGTGCAATTTAATGAGACTCATTTTTCAAGACTGCATGTGTTTAACAAACCTGTTAAAATTAATTATTTGCATGTTGACAGCTGTTGACGGTTAGCAGTTTTGCCGGAGCTTTTGTGCGTGTCTATGCATGCGTGCAGGCTAAAGGTGCATGCACTACACACATCGGTTTGCACTGCTATCAGTGACGGCCCACCTTGCACACGGTGCTCAGGACTTCCAGTGCTGTATCGCCAGGCTGTATGATGGCCAGGACAGGCTGATTGTTCGGCAGACACACCCAGGAGGGACTCAGGTAATCAGGAACCCAAATGTCGCTGTCTACGTTTTGCTGAGGAAGACTTTTCACCGAGCCTGCTTTCTCCTTCTGTAAATACAAATCACACACACACAAATGGTTTATGCATCTTTGAATAGCATTTGTGCTCAGTGAAAACAGAAGACGTCCTATAATAAATTCAATATTATCATCAAAACCTCTCAGTTCTAGTTGAGGTTCTGCTAAGGGAAGCAAAAAACAACAACAACCATATTCTATTATCCACACTGAAAATAGCTAAAATCATGTAGTAATCCTCATAATTCATCATTATTTCCCTTCTTGTTCACAAAAGAAAACAGATTAGACTAATTTGATGGAAACTGGCGGTGGCATGAAAGCAGCAGGAGATCTGATTACAAAATCTAATTAATTTGTGTTGATGAGAGCCTCTTGATACAATTCTCTCCCTGCGTGGGTATGTGTTACATATGTGTGTGCATTCTGTTCAGACCATAGTCTGTAACCTTTAAGTATCAGTCTGACCTCCGACAATCTGGCAGCCATGTCAGCCTCTCTTCTCGGATTCTGTCCTGCTTGTCTCTTCTCCTCGACCTCACGCTGTCTGTCACTAACACCTTATCTCCTCCTTTCTTTCATCTCTCTGTAGAACCCCCCCCCCCCACACACACACACACACACACTAATCATTGCCTCTCCTTCTGGTGCCCCTTCCCTTATATCTGTACATCACTCCATCATCTCCCTCCTCCCCATCTTTCATTCATGCCATACAATCTGCTGACTGTTACAAATCCAGCCCGGTGGTCCCTGTTGCAATGAACCGATGATGATCTGCGTGTGTGTGTGTGTGTGTGTGTGTGTGTATGTGAGAATCTGTGTGTTGTGGAGGGAAAACGAGACAGAGCAGGAGACAGAGGGAGCAAACTATATGCAAAAGCACATTTTTGTCTGCACAAACAAACACACATGTACAAACAAAATACAGGCACACGCAGTTTTAAAGAAATAAACACACGCATTTTCTCAGACAGACAACAGACTGGGGGGCCCATAACCAGTACCTCCCCCCAACTCCCTGAACTCCCCAGCCCTGCTCGGCACCATCTGGCTCCCCTCCTGGCCCATCTAGGATGCCTCTGCTGGGGGGCGGGGGTCCTAGGCACCGCACTAAACTCTCCTTCTCTCTCCCGTTCCCTTTTATTTCCATCAGTGGGATTCCCCAGAACAAACAGAGCAGTAAAGCTGGGACAAGTCCATCAGATGTGAACATTTGGAACAAATGTTGCTGGAGATGCCAGTTCTGAGGCACCATTTCCAGCTCTATCTTACAACCCAACCAACTGAAGAATGTTACTTCCTATGCATTTCTTTACTGTCATCCCACACCCTGCCAGCTAAAGCTAGGCGTGGGTGGAAGGAAATCAATCTCCCAAGATGCCACTGGGGGCCTCCACAGTTAGAGTGGGTTAGTGCTGCACTTTCTTTCCATCTGCTGAGTTCAGACAGAGGCCTGTCTTTCCTCTCCGCCCATCTCTGCTGCCTTCTACCAGTTCTCATAAAATATGGAGCTGGCATGCTTGTCCTTGCACAACCCATGGGTAATTGGACATTTTTCCTTAAAGTTCATATAAATTAATCATTTACTAGCTTGTGATAAGGCATTACTGGAAACCTCCAGTCCGATGGTAATCTATTTTTCTTTCTGAAGATATTATTCATTATTTGCAGTTGTCTGTACATTGTGGTCAATGTGACAGACACACAAGAGCACAGATGGTGTGGAGCTGCCAGGTCCTTTGATAGCAAATGTCTGCATAATTTGTTGACACATCAGAAAGCTAATGATCTCAACATATCAGATCAAATTTATCTCAGCGGGATTAGAAGAGAGAAATATCCCTTCAGTTGATAGTCTATGATGCTGCTAGAATTGAAATTGCCTGAAGCAAATGAAAAGAAAAATGCGAATCCATCAACACTGATCTGAAAGAGTAAGAATAATGGCATCATTTCTTAGCGTCAGTAGAAAGCAGTAAGAGACCAAAGACAGTCCTGGTGAAGCAAATCATTTGTTGACTAGAGCAGGAGGAGGAACAGCTGCACGAGATGAAAACAGTTGTTTATCTACAGCAAATAAACTCAAGAATCTTCTGATAACAATGAGGAACTAGAGTGTGCAGCTTTTAAAGTTTTATAGTCTTCAAATTTCTCCTTTCACTCTTCAGCTACGAGAGAAGTGGATGTCTGAAAGCATTAAAGCCGGAGCTTGAAAATGACCTCAAAGAAATGCTCATTGATGCAGAAGGGTAGAGGGATTTTGTGCTTCCCCCAGATAACCCCCTAAATGAAGAGCTAGAACACCAAAGGATCTCAGTTAAGTGAAAGGAGGTGGAAAATTTGGCCTCTGGGTCTTAAGAATCCCGTAACCCATTATATAAGTACAAAGGTTCATCAGATGCCCCAGTGATTTTCATGTTGGCTTGTGAGAAAGGTAAACAATGACAAGGAATTAGCCTACAGCTTCATAGGCTCTGGTTCTCTGTAGTGAATGCCAAACTAAGAAAGAGAAGAGGAACTTAGTGTTTAGCCTTAGGAACATTATTACTGTATATACATAAACATTCACTGTATCTGTTGTGGGCTTTGTCATCTTGGTTTGGCTGCAGGTTGGGCAGGGACCACAATAGAAATGGAGACAAGTTCAGGCCTACTTGTACTCATCTCTTACCTCTAACTTTCAACAGCAAACATTTCCCAAATTTTATTCTGTTTTTTTATTTTTAGTTGATCTTGGTCGACATCAAAAGAAGGCAGCTATAAAACAACACACATCTAAAAATGTCAAGGAGGACACAGTTCTATTATGGTCCTTAAAATAAAGGGACATTTGTGTTGTGGTGGTACTTTTGTAAAGATGGCTGAGCTCTTACAGATTTTTCACTTGCGGTGTCTTCAAACATATGCTCCAATGGCTTTTTCACTGGCTCCATTCCATCAACGAACACCTGCAACAACACAGAGAACAGTACATTACAACTACATCCAAATATGGCACATAGCAGAACAGTTATTATGCAGTTATGTGTTAAGCATTTGTATTGCATGTTTAAACCAACATGTGAATAAAATGTTTAGTTTATCATTTACAATTTAGTAGCTGGATCATCACCAAAATCTAATTTCACAGCTCCTTAGTCAATATTCTAAAACTTCAATACATAGCTTCTTTCTAGCTGCCTCCGAACTATTACCATCTTCTATTTTTACCACTCAAAATACCAAAAACTAAGAAGTCAATCAAAATCGGGTAGTACGGATGTATCACTATGGAAACCTGATTGATTGAAGGATGTCCCGTGGTCTTCCTCTTTGAGGTCGTGTCCAACCCCCACAGTGAGGAGAAGCGGCTACGACGTTTACTGAAGGTACGAGGCATGGCCTGGTTGCGCTTCCTGATGCTGCTTTCTGTACGGGCTGACACCTGTGACAATGATAATTACAAAAAACATGAATCCAATGGAAAGAGTATTTGAACCTTAATTAAAAAGTTCTATGATAGTCTATCTAAATTGTTATTTTTAGAGAAACTGATCAACATAGAGTATGTATACTGTACACGGACAACGGTCTGTGTTTGTTCTATGGGTTACTATACTGCATTGTATATAGTAATGGCACATACTGAACTCTTTCAATCTCTTATCTCCTTCAGTGACCTACTACACATTCAAAGAGAAACCACTCTTGGCATTTCTAGATTAATTCACATTGAACTACTGGGCTATGAGCAGCTCTGACGCACTATATGTTACATGAATACATACTTAGATGCACATACAGGTGAAACTCAAAAAATTAGCATATTGTGCAAAAGTTAATTTATTTCAGTAATTCAACTTAAAGGTGAAACTAATATATTATATAGACTCATTACATGCAAAGTGAGATATTCAAGCCTTTGATATAATTTCGATGATTATTGCGTACAGCTTATGAAAACCCCAAATTCAAAACCTCAAATTTAAATACAGAAATGTCAGCCCTCTGAAAAGTATAATCATACATATGTACTCAGTACTTGGTTTGGGCCCCTTTTGCATGAATTACTGCCTCAGTGCGGCGTGGCATGGATGCTATCAGCCTGTGGCACTGCTGAGGTATTATGGAAGACCAGGATGCTTCAATAGCGGCCTTCAGCTTTTCTGCATTGTTCGGTCTCATGTCTTTCATCTTTCTCTTGGCAATGCCCCATAGAGTCTCTCTGGGGTTCAGGTCAGGCGAGTTTGCTGGCCAATCAAGCACAGTAATCCCATGGTCATTGAACCAGGTTTTGGTACTTTTGGCAGTGTGGGCAGGTGCCAAGTCCTGCTGGAAAATGAAGTCACCATCTCCATAAAGCTCGTCTGCTGAAGGAAGCATAAAGTGCTCTAAAATATCCTGGTAGACGGCTGCGCTGACTCTGGACTTAATAAAGCACAGTGGACCAACACCAGCAGAGGACATGGCTCCCCAAACCAATACAGACTATGGAAACTTCACACTGGACTTCAAGCATCTTGGATTGTGTGCCTCTCCATTCTTCCTCCAGACTCTGGGACCTTGGTTTCCAAATGATAGGCAAAATTTGTTCTCATCAGAAAAGAGGACTTTGGACCACTGAGAAACAGAGCAGTTCTTTTTCTCTTCAGCCCTGGTAAGACGCTTCTGACGTTGTTTGTTGTTCAGGAGCGGCTTGACAAGAGGAATACGACGTTTGAAGCCCATGTCCAGGACCCATCTGTGTGTGGTGGCTCTTGATGCAGTAACTCCAGCCTCAGTCCACTCCTTGTGAAGCTCCCCCATACATCTGAATGGCCTTTACCTGACAATCCTCTCCAGGCTACGGTCATCCCTGCTGCTTGTGCACCTTTTTCTTCCACACTTTTCCCTTCCACTTAACTTTCTATTAATGTGCCTTGATACAGCACTTTGAGAACATCCAACTTCTTTTGCAATTACCTTTTGAGGCTTTCCCTCCTTGTGGAGGGTGTCAATGATGGTTTTCTGCACAACTGTCAGGTCAGCAGTCTTCCCCATGATTGTGAATTCCACTGAACCAGACTGAGAGACCAATTAAAGGCTCAGGAACCCTTTGCAGGTGTTTTGGATTAATTAGCTGATTAGAGTGTGACACTTTGAGCCTACAATACTGAACCTTTCCACAATATTCTAATTTTCTGAGATTTTGAATTTGGGGTTTTCATAAGCTGTACGCAATAATCATTAAAATTATATCAAATAAAGGCTTGAAATATCTCACTTTGCATGTAATGAGTCTATATAATATATTAGTTTCACCTTTTAAGTTGAATTACTGAAATAAATGAACTTTTGCACAATATGCTAATTTTTCGAGTTTCACCTGTATATGTATGTGTACACAAGTATACTGTACTTGTGTGAGCGTGTGCTTCTCGGTCTCCTCACCAGTCACTGCTCATGAGGCAAACACACTTCAAACGTAATAGGTCAAACTGTCTTCAAGACTCTTATTATGTAAGCTGCCTGCAAGAGGCCTTTTTACAGCCAATTTTGTTACAATGTCTCTTTTGGCCATGCATAATAACAGCCCTGATGAACAAAAGGCAAGAAAGAAAAGAAAAAGAATTAGAGATTGAGAGAGAGGACAGTTAACTTTTGCTAGAGGCAATATGAATTGGTTCATTTAGATTATTTATATAGTCATTTTAAATGTAGCAAATATATGATCCTCAAAGGTGTGCTCATTTATAGCAGTATTTGACAGATGGAGAAAAGGGTGAAGAAAATAATGCAGGCAAGGAGAAGGTGAGACTAAGGGAGATACTGTAGAGTAGGAAACACAGAGACAAAGGAAGTGAGGGTGTATGCAGTAAAAGGAAGGGGGAGTCAACAGAGCACAGTGTTAAGCCTGTTTGTGGGAAAGTGCCTAAGGGATGACAGCTTACTAACAGAGTTCATATTGATCCACCAATCACAAAAAAACACTATCAACCTCTGATGTGTGTGTGTGTGTGTGTGTGTGTGTGTGTGTGTGTGTGTGTGTGTGTTTGGTATATCCGATGGCCTGCTTGTATGAAACTGGTCTACAGAGATATTGTTTCCACCTCATTGTCTCCGCTCTGCTCTTTGTTTCCTGGATGATATTTGGCAGAGAATATAGCCGTATGATACACAACAGCATATAGATCAATCTATATATAGTGGTGTTTCATTCCACACATTCTTGGAACGCTTAAGGTGACAACAATATTTAAGTTTAAAGCTGTGCTTCTGTCCAGCTAGCCAGCTGCTTCAGAATGCAGCTTGGTGGGCTCTGCCACATTTTTTTTTGAGGCGCAGACTTTGTTAATTTAGGCTAACAATCAGCTCCACGCAGAAGCGGAGGCATTGGTTAGCTCACCTGGTAGACTATGAGCATCATATACAAAGACTAAAGTCCTTACCGCAGCGGCCAGGTTTGATTCCAACCTGTGTCTCATTTGCTGCATGACATCCTCTCTCTCTATCCCACATTTTCTGTCTCTCTTTGGCTGTACCATCAAAAATAAAAAGGCAAAATCTGCCTAAAAAAAATTCAATAAAAAGGCATCAATCTCCACTTGGATGCGCTCAGAATCAAATCCATACACTGGTGGGTCATACAAAACAAGACTTTTTGGACAAGCTTCTTCAGGACAGCTGAAAAGTCTAACATAGCAGCTAATGTGGAAAGCTTCATTTAGCCTACCCCTGCTTGCTCCTGAGTAGCCACTGTTAAATTGTCTGTTTAAATCTCTGCTGGTACGTATAAATTGTTACTTTCAGTAAGCATACAGTATATGACAAGATTCTTACTCAACAGCCTAATAAATACACCTACTCTACAAGCTGGGCTGGTGTTGAAGGTCAGCAACTGGGAACCTCTCACACAAGGCCTACTGGAACATGTAGAGACATGTGGGACAGAATTTGAGTTTTGGATTAAGGTGCTTCGATTAGGTTTAAGCGCACGGGCATTTTTAACCATACCAGTGCATGGAAGGAAGAGACAGAGAAGATTCCCAGTCGTCCCATGGCCAGCTTGGTGGGACGCGAAGCATTGCCCAGCAGGCGTTTGGGGTTGGGGGGCTCGCCGCCCTGCAGACTGGCCAGGTAGCACCGACAGCGGAACAGATCCATGTGAAACCGTTCCAAGTTCTGCTCCCACAGGAAGATCTAACAGATGGAAAGATGAGTAAAAAGTGAGAGGGATGGATTTGTGATTATGCAACATAAGCAAACTTCACTGATGACATCCAGATTCAGCAATGGAATGGCTCCAGATTTGGCCACTGATGAAAACCACAACATAAAATATGCATAAAAGATCACTCTTTGTTAGATGGTTCTTCAGTTGTTTGAGCAGGAGTGAGATGTGGGAGTGCTGAAGCCCCTGTGGAGAGTTATTACTCACCAACACAACCCCCCACCAGTGGCCGACCTGCTGTGCTATGTGCAATGTATCACAGGGTGGGCCGTGGGAGGTGGAACACAGGAATACACACACACACACACACACACACACACACACACACATACACTAAAACACAATCTAGACTTAATTTGCACTGATTCCTGCCTTCACCTATTTGTTCCAGGACCTAAAACAAAGGAATACAACTCTTTCTTTGAGTCTTATATGAGTTACATGAGTTCATCAGAAATCCCAAGCCTGTCTATTTATTTAAACTCACTTTGTAGATTAATGTGGTTTCAGATACTAATCTTGAAAGAAGTCAGGCATTGTTATAATCGACCACTCAGGTTTTCACTCCTTTGATCCCACAATTGTAGTTAATGTGCCTTTATAGAAGGCAATCAAAATCACAGTGTTTTCTCAAAAATAGGAAGTGTTCTGTGTTATTCAGATTAACCACTTCCTGCTGCTTTTTTAAAAATATAACATTGTTTTCTTTTATTGACTATCAACCAAATGCCACACACATACAAAGACACAGAGGTTTGCTCCCACAAGGAGGCCTTTTTGTTCATGGGCACATTCTTAAGCTCCCTTGCAATGTTTACATGCAATGCTGCTTTAACATTCAGCAGCAGCTCCATACATGCATGGAGCGAAGAATAAAGCTATAAAGCTATAAAGCTATGTTCCAATGAAAGTGAACATACCTCAGCTTTGACATCATTTCCAAACAGCTATTAAATATGGACAGATTAGCAAAATATTTCAGGCTCAACTGCCTGCTAATTTGTGCTTCGCATGTGTTTCAACATGTGCTATGAATATACTAAGTACTCCTTAAGAACATTTGTTGTTATGTCTGGATGATGTCATGCAGTAAAGATGATTTTGTGCTGAGATTTCAGTGCAGTTCAAACGTACAAAGATGCATCTGTAACACCCCTTAGGTGTTTTCTAAAGACACGCAGCAGGATGCTCAACGCATGAGCTCACAAGCCTGGTTCATATCAGCATCACATTGACAAAAAGTATAACTAATTTGCAGTATAATAATATGAAAAGGCTTTCTGACACTTCCTCTTGTGTCTATTGGGAGATCAATGAAGAAGCAACTGATTCCTCTGTTTTAGATCTTGCCTGTTATTCTTGTATGAACAGCAGCTTTAATTGAATTGACTACTTTCATTAAACACAAACTTTTAGAATAACTGACTCCTTACACATCTCCCTCCATACCTGGTCCAGTATGGTCTTCCTCTTTTTGCCGTCTGTGACGGTGGATAGCTGCATGTCTCCCATCTTCTTCATCTTCTCGTCCATGTCAATCTTCTGCTCCAGCTTGCGGATCTCGGTTCGCAGCAGTCGCACCGTATCCTCCCTGTGATGCTGACGGGCCAAAGCAGCGGCACATGCAGAGTGGATCGCCGTTATCCAGTTCTCCAGTTCTGTCTGGCCTGACGTCTGACAGGAGAGGGAAAAAGTGAATAACAATTGGTTCCCTTACAAAATGGGTAACAATAGCGAGAAAAAGAAATTTGAAAGAAGAAAGAAATTGACAGCTAAAAGAATTGAAGTAAGAGTCCCGTTATTAGCCTATGGGGAGAGGGCAGTGACTATAATCTCATGATCATTTTATTACTTCTATCTATTCATTGATTGAATGTCACTGTGGGCAGCTGCTATGAATATAAATAGCACATTTTAATTTTACACAATGGTCACTGTGGTGGATCACTGTCACAGTATGACAGTGTGGCCTTTAAACATGTCAGACATAAAACAAACACATGAACACATGACTGGCTTATCTTCCACACAGGGCTAAATGTCATGTACTTGTGTGCCACACACACAAATCCCTCAAGGGAAATTTGGTCTCTTCTTATTGCCATACATCTCTGTCTCTCTTGGTGATCTGCTGACATGTGTCCCAAAAAACAATGATATAATTGAAAAACGTTATGTTTTTGACTATGAAACACTAGTGTCTCTCCTACCTGGAAGAGAAAAGCGTCTCCCACTGAGTTGCTGAGGCAGAAGACAAAGTCTTTCTTGGGGTGTTCAGGGACAGCCTGAACAATGCTGTTCTCCACCCACAGTGCATGTTTAGGAACACTGTTGTGGTCGATGCCAGAACGACCGTCTGATTCGTACAGGAAGAGAGTGCAGCCTTGAAGAATGCAGAAAACAAATATGCAGGGAAAAGAAAGACAGAGAATTTTTTTTCTTATTGGTGTGACATTTATTTCTGTATTTACCATTTTATTTTACTGAAACCAATTAGCAAAACAAGGCATTTCAGCAGTATTGATATACAACTCTAAAGTGTGTGAAAAACACAATGTATTTAATCCCTCATTGGCGTTACAGCAAAATAAAAAAATAATAATTAATTAATATTATGGGCCTATGTTGTTTATTATTGGTGCTAATGTATAACATGAGGTCAGGAGGAATACTATGAGACAGTCTAATTTATTTCCAGGAGGCAGGCAGGAATGGAGCTGCAGATGCTGTCTCTTAATGCATTTCACAAGGATGAGATTGGATTAGACACGGATGCCGCCGTAAAATTAAATTGTGAGGAGTCAGAGGACAGGAAATGTAAGGCCACACAGAAGAGGGTGAGAGAGGACAGTAGAGGTGACAACCAAGGGCACGGGCTGTGTTACGACTGATGTGATTACAGTCTAACAGGAGAGAGTAAGTGAGAGACTAAACAGGTTAGGGTCAGGCTGAAATGTTTATCTGAATGTGACATTATGGCTGCACGGTATTGTTTAAAGTAAATGTTTTGGTCATCTTTTTCCAGAGAATTTGAGAGTTTTTGTGCTTATTTAGGAGTTCATGAGGAGCTGAGGGCCTTGGGGTCAAAGTTCTCAGTTTGAATATGAAAAGAGACCTGTAGCCTTCAACTCTCTATGCCAACATTTACAATCTATTACATACAGTTAAAAATCACAAAATATCTTATACATAGCATATGCTTATGTTTAAGTTGAGTATGAGTCTATGCAACACCTTTGAGAGAGACCCAGTAGTGTTTCCACTTGCGACGTGTTGCAGGTTCCACCTTCTTGTTTTTCTTATGAACCAAGAAGTTCTTCACAGCCAGAGCCCCTGCTTTCCTGACTATGCCTTGTGCACAGCCAATCGGAGTGTCCGATGGATACGCACAACTGAGTGTGCCACTGCTCTGCTCATCACTCACAGCGGAGCAAGCCTCCTCCGTGCAGTCCCGACCCTGATGGGCCTGACGAGAAAGTGATGGAAAAATTGAGTGATAACAAACATGTTGGATCTTTCATTAACACCTGTATTTAAAAGAAGAATAAACACTGACAAGCACACAAAGTAACTAACCCAGGCTTGATTATCCAGCTCCTTCCGGAAATTCTCATACACTCCTCCCCTGCCTCCCTCTCCGCTTCTTCCTTCTCCTCCTCCTGCACTGCTGCTCCCACTGTCGCTCCCGTTGAAAACACTGCTCTCAGTAGCCGAGTATACTGAGAAAGAGGCAGACATGGCCTTACAGCGCCGTGACACCAACTCTCCGTCACCGTCTATCTCCATGGTTACGCCATCAATGCCGCTGTCGCCATACTCACTGCCCTCGCCCAAAACACCAGAGATGTCCTGTCAGCCAAAAACAAAAAAAATAAAAGAGGTTATTTCTCTCAAATCAACCTGACAACTTAAACTACACAAGAGGCCTCTGGGTTTATAAGCGCATATGTGTGTGCATGTGGGTGGGTGGGTGCTTTAGTGCATCACAATGTGTGTTTGTGTACATGTTTTTGCATTTCTGCTAAAAGAAAGCTTTTCACGTCAAGACGTTCTCTGTGATTTCACACTTTTCTTTCACCAAACTGGGAGTCTCCCTGTGTTCTATTTCTCTTTGTTTTGCTGTGTTGTCTGTCTATTTATATCCGGTCTAACAACCCCCTCTGCCTGGCTAGTTGAATTTATAATAACCACTTAGGTTTCCTCTGCTATCCAAGGTTGCTAGGGGGTTCTGGGAATGAGTTGAAAGAAAAGCCTGGTTCACTATTTTATAACTTCCTTCTTATTTGGCAATTTGTTTTATCACTTATTACTTTTTTATGTATATTTATGCATGTTAGGACAGTGTGTGGTTAGTGAATGGGGCATGAAAGATATTATGCTTTAATGCTTTAATTTCTAGAGGGGGAATGCAGAAACCAGGCCAGTGTTGGACAAGTGGTCCAACAGAGACTTTCTATCTGACTCTTTGTAATCCCTTTCCCCCTACAAAAATATACACACACATTTGGATGCACATACATGTAACATACATAAACACAACTGCAGAGCATGAGCACACACAGGAAATGTCTCTGGTTGTCTACAAAATGTGAATTGCTGGAGTGACTGTCATGTCAGTGAACCCCTCCTGAACCTCCTGGATATTACTGGTAAACAAAGTCCTCTATCACTCTACATTTAGAGGTCTGTATTTCAGAAAGGAGAGATAGAAGAGACAAAATACCTGATTACTATTTTGTCTGCTTTGTATATTCCTAAAATGCAATCTAACCTGAGTAGTTTGTGCTCGGCGTCCTTGGAAAGCAGGGCACGGTGCAGCCGGGATGCCGAGCCCTGCTAAGCCCTCAGACAGGCAGTGGGAGCGTCTGCAGGGGAGCGTGAATGCTCCATACCCGCCGCCATCCTCCTCGGCTGGAGACATCAGCCCCTCCTCCCCTTCTCCATCGCACTCGGTCTCTCTCCGATGTTTTACGTAGCGGCTCTTCTGTCCCCTGAGGCCAGGACTCTGCTGGCTGCACAGATGGTCTAGAGATGATGCCCTTTCAGTTGAGCCTGGAACAGACACAGGTGGTTATTGCAGGGCAGTGTGTGTATGTGTGTGTGTGTGTGTGTGTGTGTGTGAGTGTGTGTGTGTGTGTGAGCAAGATGAAGTTGTGTATTCTGATTACTGCTGGCTACTTTTAGATTACTTTGCCACATTTGACGTGTAAATTAGCCTACTCCATGTGTGTCTGTGTCCTTCTGTGAATCTACATGATTTTGGTGAGTGAGCATGAATGTTTGTGTCTGTGCTCATCCATTATTCTGAGCTGGCCGACCACCTGGGGCAGCATTTAGACCTTCAGAAGTTAGGTAACCAGCTACCGCCTGCTGTCGCGCTGAACTCCAGCGGCTCCTACACAGTGCCAGTTAAGCTAACAACCCCATGATCTACTGCAACTGATGGATGGCAGCTAACCTTCAATCAGTAGATTTTGTCAAATCATTTTTCCCTGCTTGATGAGTGTCTGCAATTTTTCCCACCTTGCTCCCCCTCATCACTTGCAAAGCGTATCAAATCAAGCTAACACTTCTGCACACACGCACACATATACGAAAAAATTGTTTTCAACCCTCAGTCACCATTCTGTTGGTCAGGTTGCAGCAGTGGTGCTTTTTGAAAAGTACATACTAAGAAAAAATCTAGAATCGTCAATATCTAATGTATCGATTCTAGATGGGAAATAAATGTCAATGTCAATGCTGTGACAATGGTAGTATTCTTTACTATGATAGATTTGCTTCTGAGTGACTACATAAAAAATTAACATGTATTATCCACACCTGCATTGGCTCTGGGGCGTGTGAACTGCTCCTCCTCCTCTTCTTCTCCTCCATCTATCATCTCCTCCGTGCTGGTCAGATGCTCCTGGCTCAGATCAGACAGAGAGAACTCCAGGCTGTCTTCTCTCCACATGTCTGCTGACTTGGACCGCTTCTTTTTAAAACTCCCTCCCTCACGTGGACCCTCAGTCATTCGTTGGAGGTACCTTTCCTCTCCAACCACGTCTCCCTCTCCCTCCCCCATGGAGTCCTCGCCTCCATCCTGAGCGATAGTGTCTGCCTCGGAGGTTTCAGGAGTTGGAGTGGCCAAAGGGTCGTCATCATTTTGATAGGACTCCGGCCTCATTGTCATAGCGACGCGCTGTGTCCAGTGAGGGTTGATGCCGAACTCCTCAAACGCATCTGTCGCGTTGAAAGGTTCCAGTCCGTTCTCTGCTAAGGATTGTGGGATGCTAGGGGTGCTGGAGGAGCGAGTTGAGGCTTCAGAGTTTCTGTGTTCCTGTTTCACTGAAGAAGAGTGCCGGGCACGGCGGGTGATTGGCTGCTTGCTGGAGAGACGGAGTGACCGGGACGTGTGCTTCCGGGAGAGATGTCCCGTCACATCGCCGTAGAATCCACTGTCCCCATTCTGACTCTCCACATTTCCCATGATTCAACTGTAGATTAAGAAAGAGGTTTCTGTGAAACATGTATATCTTAGGAATGTTCCCATTATCCCTTCATGTAAGTCTTGTGTGTATGTAAGTGTTTTATAACTACTAATTGGTCAGTGCCACATCTGTGATTTATATCGAATATCTGTATTAAATGGTACAGTCATCACCTGAGGTCATACCAAACTGAAAGTGAGGTACTGACACAACACGTGCAAAAGAGGCATCCCTCTAATGTTTAAAATGGAGAGCTGTTTGTATAGGCATATTTTAAATTCAATTATTTAATTTACTGTTATATGGACCAGTGGCTTTGGGGAGGTCATGTTTGCCAATAGAAGACCTACACAGCGGCTTCTAAGTGTAACCAAAAGTATTGAGTTCAGACTTTTCAAAGAAAACTACACTGAATTGTCCTTTTGATAAAATAATAATTGTATGATACGGAGTATTAGCAAATTATACCTGTGGCAACAACGATCATTTTCTGTCAAATTCTGTTGGCACAGTTGGCATTGTCAGATGCCTGGTGAGATTCTAAGTGTCTGATCAGATATTTACTGTATGGAAACTGAATTGGTTTTCTTAAAAGAAAGGTGTATGTCGAAGCTGAGTCAAACTCAGGAAACTAAGGTACTGAAAAAAAGTAATGTATTGGTATTTGTGTCAAAATTCAGATACTGTATAAGCACTGTTATCAAAAACTTCCTAGCTTTACTGGACGTAAAGCATTTACAGCATGATGACTTTTGTCACTATTCCCCACTAAACTAGGCAAACGTGTTGATATACCTGTGATTAAGTTTGTATTTGTTTAAGTTTGTGTAAACATGGATTATTTTTTATCACTGGGAGATATACACTCTGCATTTAAATTATTTCCAAATTGTAATGGCATTGACATGTTTACTTTTGTTTTGCTGAAAACCAGGTCAATCTCTGTGCTGGCTGAGTGAGTAACATCTGATGGCCCATTAACTAACAGTGGTATGTCAAAGGCATCCATGATCTCTTTGAATGCCCTGTAGAGGTGAGCTGCCAGGCAAATAGTTTTTGGACTTGGTGTTTGACAATTTACTTAGGACAACACACTCAAATAAAGCAGCGCAGGGACAATAAAGTTAATATAAAAAAATGTATTTAGAGCATAAACTCTTCTAACATTTCACACAGGCTCCCATGGGTCTTCTGGTGTTGTCCCATTTAACTACAGTATTCAGAATGAATCAAAGTCATATTCATTGTTTTGCCGACTACAAAGACATGTTCAATTTTAAATGCCAAAACCTTTTCTCATACTTACAGACTCCTACTTTCAAACATACATATGAAATATTTCAATTTATGTCTCTATATGATTGATTCAGGTGTTTGTGTGGACTTTTGATCCCAGACACTGATGAATGCCTACAGGCTGGTAGGCAGACACAAGGATGGATCGACCAATCCCTACTGCAACACTTCTCTCCCTCCATCGTGTTAAAATTATTCATTAGCTACAATCCCAGAACAGTTGAAACGATCAAAGAAATCCGTTCTACTGATCAAAAAGTTATCTAAGCATCATGCTCTCTGTTGTATAAGCATGTGGAGCTGCTGAGTCAACTGCTGTCAAATCTGTTGGTCCTCTGTGAGTCACACATCATCAAGCCCACACCATCAGGCTCTCAGTGTGGGCTAAAACTGCAGAGAAAGACTGAAATCTTTTCTGATACATCATCTGTATTAACAAATACCTAAATCTATCACTGAGAATAACCCCTCTAATAATCATACTTTACTGTTACTGTTCTTGATTCCATATGATATGGCTAAAACAAGTAAAAACATTCAAATAACCTAATAGGATGTTACAATTCAATACAAAATCTATTTACTTATGGAGATTGTTTGCAGTGATGAGAAACCAAGGTGTATAAACTGTTGTTACCTGTGGTTAAGCAGCAGCATCACCAGATTCTGTCCGGTGTCATCTTTCACCGACCGCATGATCCTCCACACATCCTCAAACGGCGGTGTCAGTTTCTCCCTAAGAGGAACAAGGATAGAGAGAAGTGTTTCTGTTGAGCTCTCACAACTTCAAAGTGACCCAATGTGTCAAACGCCCACAGAGGAGAAGAGAGAAGACGAGAAGCAGGAAGGTGCAGAGGATCTGCAGTAGTTTTGGAAGCAGTATGTCACATAAAGCGATGAAGTTAAAAGGAAAGCTGTGAAGCACACTAGAGAGGGAGTCTATAGGATAAGAAGCAGTACACGGGATGAAAGGGAATAAAGGACACAGTGGTCAGTAAGCCTGGAGAGGAAAGCAAGCAAACAAAAAATGCTAATTTATATGCACATATATACAAACTCACAGATCATCAGAGTGCAGAGGTATTGTAGGAGCCTGAGGGGGAAAAAAAACTCACAAACAACCACAATTTCTTTGAACTGCACCCTGAAACTCATTGCCAACCTGAAACCATGCAGGCGTGTACAGGCACAAAACATTTTGGGAAAACACCCCTTGTTTCCCTGCAGACAAAGAGATGCGCACGCACGTACGAATGCTCACACACACACACACACACACACACACACTGTTGGTAAAATGACAGAAGATGAAAGCAGCTATGGTGTGTGATTTTCTGCTTAAGACTCAATTAAATGATCCTTGCCAACACGACCTAATTTTCTCTAATACCAGCCCTGAGCTGCTTAGAGTAGACTGCGTTTTCCATAATGTGCTATGTATAGTGTGAAGGTAATGTAAGTACAAGCATGCTTGCTTTTATGTAGTTTTGCAAATATTTTCAATTCACAAAGGCCCATAGCAGCATACCTGGGAGACTGACTGTTGTCCTCCATGCTGCACAACACTACTGTCAGATTTGTTTGTGTTAAGCCTATAAGCAGCAAAATTATGGAAGAGAAATCATCAAACAAAAATCAGCACACAATCTGTTTAGATCCTACACATTTGGTGAGTAATTTCAACTGGCCATTTCTTTTTTTTTTCAAAACCCGTATTTTTTCCCTCAGGTTTACAGTGCTGGCATGAGTATAACGTACCTTTCACTAAACCTTGACCACAGCTGCTGCTTTTAACATTAATGATAGTTGTATAACGCTGTCAATTTGTTTATTCTCTGGGGCAGAAATAGGACAAGTCAACCATGTTACAGTTCTGGGAAAGGACACAGAAATAAGAGCTCAGAAAAAGAGAAGTACAAAGGACAATAAGAGAAGTGAAGGCCTTTGCTGAGTAAATGCATGGAAATCATACACAGTGTTTTGTTTCATAGGTCAAGCTCTGACATTGCACCATGCCAGTATGTGAGTTCATGGGTTTAAACGTAGCCACTGCAGCGCATTCTGCCCCAACTGTGGGAAGCAGTTACATAAGCTAAACTTGACCCTGATCCTTCTCCTCTTCTTTTCCTCTACCCCCCTTTATTTCTCATCCCTACTCCATCCCATCCAGCCTGACGAGACTTATCCCGACCCACATGCTGGCCACTTACCCCACAAAACAAACATAGTATAATGCACACACAATGCTTCACAGTTGCTGGAAATTTATTTTGGAGCTAGACCTGCTTTCCTTTTAAATCTGGCATCAGCAAACAAACACAGGCCTTAATACCTATAATGATTTATAGTGCATACATAGTGGGTGAATGTTTTACTGCTGAGGACTCTTGGTTACATTGACTGTACATTGCTGTTGCCAAGCCATATAGTTCGTCTATACGTCTATCTGTCTGAGTTCAGTGTAGCGGAGGTGAAAAACACAGACACACACAGGCCAAACAAACAAAACAATCCGGTCTGACACAACACAGGAGACATCAAACCGCTGCCTTTCCTCTGGCAGTGTACAGTCTAAAATGTTTAGTCTCTTCATTTTTTCCTCTCCTTGCGCCCTGCAGCAAAGCATGGAAGAGGGAAAAGTGTAGTGGGGGGGGTCTGCTTAACCCATGTAGAGCTGAGAGGTGAGGCGAGGCTGGAGGCGAAACACATACGAAGGGAGGGTGCTGAGGTTGGTACAGACACAGAAGAGAAAGGAGAAAAAACATGTTGGGGTGAGATATGATTAGAAGTTTGATATGGAAAGGTGAGAAAACAGGGGTAGGAAGAAATGAAGAGAGAGGAGGAGATAGATAGAGAGACATTGGGGGGTCCTATTGTTGCTGAGCTTTAAGTGGATAAGTAGACATGTGCTCTGGCTGCCTCTCTTCAGGCTTAATTGAGGGAGCCGAGACAAAAGGGGAAACATAATTATTCGCTCTCTTTCTCTCAGTCTCCCCGTACTTGCTCTCATTCTTGCAGTATATTAACACATTGAGAGAGTGTATTAACACAATGGCCTGCGCAACAGCAGCCAAAGCATCATTACCATGCAGACATGCCCACTCACAGACGAGCCCACACACACACACACACACACACACACTGAGAGGAGACAAAGACCAGTGTTGATGAAAATAAAATTCCATACTGGTTAAATGTTTTATTAAAACACAACTCCAACAAAATGGCATCTAAAATCAAGTAAAAATGTGTTTTTTATTTACTGAATTTATCACCAACATCATGTTTAAACAGCTAATCTGTTGTTTCCTGAGCACAAAGTGGAACGCTCTACTGGCTGTGTATAACGGACGCAAAATCAGAGAGACACGGGCCTGAGATTCTTACTGGGACTGGATGTGCCGCTCAGCTACACTGTCAGAAACAACTCTGTACTGCGGCTGTCAAACTCATACTGCTGCATCGCCAATGTTGCGTTAGAAAGACACTCAACACCTATGGGCTCTCCCGTCTATCACCTAACACATGATACACACGCAAGCAGATCGTTTTCTGCAGCATACAATAGACCACAATAGCACAAAGGCAGACATGCTTTCCAGTCACACACACCTGCGCAATCCCATGAGAAGTGTGAGCAGGTTTTCCGACTCACACACACTCCGTCACATTTTTTGGAAAAATACCAAAGGCCTGTCAGAACAGCCATGGAGCAGGCACACCCTTACCCCCCACCCCACGACTAAATCTTTTCATCTCTGCACCTGTCTCACAGCTCCGCCTTACATGACACACAGCTCAGCTCTCCAGTCTTGAACCACCCATGACTTGAATGCGCACTACTGTACATCACTACACTGGGAATGAAGACAAAACCTGTCTCATCTCTTTTTCAAGGCTGTCATAATCTAGACCGCATGCCAAATACCGACGTCAAATTATGAAATTGCCAAGTGCCTTTATTACATGCTCTTCATTCCACAAAGACAACAATCTATCATAAATGTACCTGACTTTACATACACATACTACAAATTTAAACTTGTTGAAACTTTGAATTTTGCATAGTAGTGAAGAAAGTGGCTAGAATATGTGTAACTTTATTTTTAAACTTGTCTTTATCAACTATAAATTATCTGTTGCACATTCATTTCTCTTACATAAGTGAACAGGATCCCATCCACAAATAAAGCAAGTTAACTGCTCCCTTTAAAAAGTGCCTCAATAGGTAAGGTAACTATTTTTTCATTTGGTTTTTAGTATATCATTGTAGAACTGTTGTTTAGTCTTGAAATTTCGCTATTTCAAAATTATATGTAGTTTATTATACTGTAGTTATTTTAGTCACAGTTTATTACACAACAGGAGAAAATAAAGATGACTTGCCTTCAGTGTGTGCTTAATACAAAGATTAAATAATTATGACAAATGCACTGGTAGCCTTTATTGTTAGAACATTTAAAAAGGCAATAGTACTCAATTTTGTGTTTTATCATTTTCACTCAAAGTTTTCTCTGCAACCAGAGAAGCTCCCTGCTTGACCAATCTCTCTGACCTTCCTCTCACCCTCGAACCAGGACCAGTGCCCCCCACCCAGCCGTTGGACTCACCCTTCCCTTAGGCCTTTTCCCGCACCTTTCACATTCCTCAATTGGTTACCGTACCCCCTCCTTCAGGGCAGGGGATGAAGTCACTGAGGTTAACGGTCTCTCTGGGGGATAAAGAAAGGAATTTCTGGATGGGCCAAACTAAATTCCAAGCAAATCAAGATAGACTACCATGGGAATCTGGGAGGTTTTATCAGAGCGTCTCCATGCCTACACACCTGCACACGCCTACAGAAATACACACTTGCAAACACGCATTCATGTACACCAGGGCTGCCCTGTTGTTGTTTACGCTGAGCAAACCTGCTTTGAAAGATAACCGTAAATAACATGTGGAGCAGGACTAGGTGCAAGGAGGCTCAATGGTCCAAACAAATAAGGATCAGGAATGTGAGCATGTCTGAATGTGCCAATCTAGGTGTTTGAGGAGGAACTATATCTATTTGAGGACGAACTATATCTATCCAATGTCAAGATAACAGTCAGATATGCTCGGGAAAACCTCCCATTGTAGAAATGGGAGCGCACACTCCACTGCACTCCCATAGTCCCTCTGAGACGGGACTGTCTGAGACTTCACTGGTAGAATTCCCTGGGAGAGGGAGATTAGCTTCTTATTCATCCTTTTGGGATCTAACAAGACACGCGCCACCTCCCCCCTCGCTCTGCTTAAACACACACATGCACATACACAAACAGCATGCCTGCGAGCATGAACCTCGGCTGCTGCTTAAGTCAAACATTAATTTCTTTTAACTGGTGAGAGACAAATCATAATTCCTTCCCGAAGAGCGCTTTCATTTTGAGGCCACAGCGGCATAAAAATGACAGAACAAAGTGGATTGGGAGGAAATGAGATGGTTGTTATTCGTTTGCTATGGTCCTCTCTATGTGTCATCTCTTGGTAGAGAGAAAGAAAGTCAAGATTTAGGATTGTGTTGATAGTATGAGCACAGCAAATTCACTGCCAGAGAGGAAAAAAGCCACGCTACACTAAATAAAAATGGAACAAAGATAAGAGTTTAAAAACAGGGGGATATCATCTGCAAAATGACACATATAATAGATTTTTGATTTTCGGTCCTGGTGACATCTGAGGATCAAGTGGAAATGATAAAGGCCAGTGGAA